TGTATACTCAGCCTGGAGGAAAGGTTGCGTCCTCTTTGAGCCGAGAATGGGACTTTTGGAGCCTGAATCGTGGGTGAGGTTTAGGGTGAGGGTCCCAGGGGCGCAGAGGGTGTGTGTAGTGGGTGAGGCGAGGACTGATCTGAAGCTGAACAAAAGCAGAGTTTGGGAGGGAGACGTTTTCACCGGGGGAGGAGTCCCACAGCTCAAAATGGCCGCTGCGTCGGGGAGAGCGAAGACATGGCGGTGATGATGACCTTTGACATCAGGCCGACAGAGAAGGAAGAGTGAAGGAGAAATGTTAATACTTTTATTAACAGTATTTGATGGGCAGTAAGGATGCACCAATACATAATGGTATATCTGACTGAATTACAATTATGTAGTGGCAAATCAATTATAACAAAAGTCAGTTGTGAGCAATAATTGAGCTATTCTGTTATGCTATTATGCTATTTTCTGATCTGTTATAATGCTGTTTCCGCATCACAAACATACTTGGAGTTGTGCTTTGGTTCATTCACACATCTTTAACACACAAACCCTGCATAGTTAGGCTGAGTTCTTCTCTCTTCTCTTCTTGTGATGTCATGTGGTAATACAGGAAGTACTCCACTGTGTTTTTAAACTCTATACACCTTCACTAGAGTCATTTGGATAATTTCAACCCTGGAATTGCCAGTCTCTACTAAACTGAAGGTTAAATGTAGCTGTTAACTTAAAAACTAATTACAGCTTTATGACATTACAGGGTAGAACAGAGCAGTTTGAACTTTGGAAATGTAGACAGAAAAATGATAAAGGGTTACTAAAACTTGTGTGAATGAAACAAAACACAGCTTTATGTATGTTTTTGATGAGGTAACAACAGTATCTTCATAGGCCCCATTGTATACTCCTGTATTTTGTGATCTCAATATCAGGATATTTTCATTTTAGTTGCTTGTCATTTTTTTTGTTCTTTTTCTTTCAATTATGCTTTTATTATGTGTGAATGAATATATATATATATATAATATATATATATATATATATATATATATATATATATATATATATATATATATATATATGATTTGATATCAACGGCCAGTGGCATGTTGTTTTTGAAATTTCTTATGCGATTCTATGCAGCTGAAGCTAAAATGAGGTAGTAAATAGTAGATGTACTGAACCACATTCTTTTCCACTTAGTTTATGTTGAAAGTGCTACAGTATCCCTGTATATGATAACACATTAACCATAACTTAAAAGGTTGAAATTGAATCCAAAAACATTGATGCATCCTTACTAGAGTAATAGGTAGATATAATTAATAAATAATATATACTGTGATTATTTCAGGTTTACGTACACAACACCATACACCTTCTGCAACTGTATGACCATTGATATTTGTCAAAATGAACTTAACTGTACTTTTATTGTTATTTCTTAGCTTTATATGTTGCTTTTATCAGTAGAAAGTTAATTAGATCTTACTAGATGAAAGATGATTTGAAAGCTACTTGCTAATCCTGAGAGAGCTTAGGGCTGGTAGTCTCTGGTGCTCAGCTGTGGTGCTAAACAGTGATACTGTGTTATGTAATTCTGTCTGTATTATGACGTGATGCTTCTGCAAAGTTATGTAAATAAAATCACTGACATTTGACGTGCACCTGCTTCTAAATGTGAAATGTAATAAACTTGATATAAGACCATTTAAATGCTCACTGTATGTGTTAATGCAAGTGAACACACAAAAAACTTACAATACCCCTAGACACACTTTTTCATTTACTTTTCTTTTTTATTTTCATGATTATTTACTTTGTAGATTCTCTTTTAATGCATCAAATCTAGAAAAGATCACATATGGAATATAGCAAAAATAAATCAACTGAAGATAGCTCAAAACTTCAAAAATTTTGAAATAGCCATCCTTTGATTTGTACCCTGGTTTGCATTTTGGCATTTCCTGACCCTGACCAGGCAAACCTGAAAACCATTTCAGGAACTCAATGAGGGTTTGCTGTGCTATTGACAGCAAAGGGTGGCTACTTTGAGGATTTCAAATATAAAAAAATATTTTTTTGAGTTATTTAACTTTTTTTCTATTTTTTATCTAAATTTATGAATTTGATGTCTTCTGTATGTATATAAAATGTAAATCAATGAACATAAAGACAAAAATCAATAAATGAGAGGGTTTGTCCAAATTTTTAGAGTTTAGTTAAGCCCTTATAGGCAATATATTTGTGCCCATGCACAGTCAAAATGCACACTTAAAATCAGAATATTTGGGGATTTTTAGAGCTAAAACTGACCCATGCTTAACTATTTGTTCATTATGAATTAAGTCTTTCTTCATGCGTTATTATGGATAATTAAGATCTCATTATTATGAAGGGCTACTTCATTTCTCAGACATAGTTTTTAGAGATGAATATAGCAAAACTATTATAATGTAACAGCTTGAAAATAAATATAGTCACATGAACCCTTTTAGCAGTGTAATTTTTCCAATCACATCTAATTCTATTCCTGCTATTCACACGTTTGCCTTTTTGGTAACAGAAAATTTTATGCTAACACGTGGACATTTGTAATTTTCATATAACAATAACTCCAAAAATGACTGAGCATATTTTTGTTATATATTTTTCAGTGTAACAAGGTCATCTTACGCTTTGATGTGAGCTAATTTCACCCAAAACAGCCCCTTTTGTCTCTCAGTGTCACTCATCACTATGCCCCCCTTAGTAACAGATGCAGACAGTGACTTAAAAGGTTAAGTAAGGTCATTATCATTTACTGTCCCTTGAGTTTTTGAGGCCATATAACTAACTAAATATGGAAAAGCAAGCCTTCATTACCTGAATACCAAGCATACCTGTTAGCCTGGTTGTAGAGACTTAAAATATATATTCCAATCCATACAGTAAACAATGCTGTGGTCATGACCTAAGTTGCAAGAAAAAGTATTCAAATTCAAATTTCTTCATGGGACATTGCAGTACTGTAATTGTATTTACTCAATCCTTTCTGTGCCAATAGCTGACAGGAGATAAATATTGACTAAACGGCTAGTTGGGTCACAGTCTCCACAGGGTTTGTATAAATGTAAAACAAAATGTAAGGCAAATGGTATTCAGAAAATCGTTTCTCTGTTGTAGGGTCTGCCTCTTTGCTTGTCTCCTTGGAGATATTATTTCTTTGCATGGAATGTTTAACAGTATGTTTTCAAGCATCATTCATTACATGTGTTTTTGTTACTAAAAAAATAAAATAAAATAAAATAAGAAAAACTTATTGTGTGAGCTTGCCTCACTACAGATCTTACCTGTAACATGGCCTGGTGGCATCACCTAGTTTTCTCTATGGAGATATATAAATTTAATTCCATACTGCATAACATTTCAGGCAAAGCAGTCACATATTCAGAGCATAGTGCACCATTAAGGTATATTTGAAATCATTCTTTCCCCTTTATAAAACAGAAGTGTCTTAGGAGCCAGAAGAGATGTAAAATATTAGATACAATTGTAGAACTACCTCTTAATTTCTACACCTCCATCACAATCAACTTTCCAAAATAAATTTGCTGGCTAATTTAAACGTAATGTAGACTTTAAATGACAATCAGTAGCTCATGTTTGTAGTATTAAATTGTCATGTATTGAGTTGAAAGTACAAATCCCTTATTCTGTACCGAGCTCTATTATTGCAGTGACCCAGCTTTGGCTTTCTGAGTGATGACTGTTTACATGGGGCTGTCATAATACCCCTCAAATAGCCCTGGCTGGTGCCTAAAGTTAAAACACAGCATCAAAACAAGGGGGGTACAAATGTGTAGCTAAACAGACTTGGTGCCAATGCGTTTCACCATGGGGAGGGGGTGAGGGGGGGTCCTGCTTGCTTGAGTCGCTGGGTAGAGATTGTATTGATGTCAGAGGTTAGCCATGCAGGCTGCTAGATCTGCCTGGCAACAATACAAGGACGACAGCTCCTTATGTGACCAAGCTGAAATAAAGTGTGCCACAGCGGGACAGTGTCAAGTGGGATTCCTCTTGAAGTAAAGTCCAGCTGTCTGTTAAACTTGGACAAACTGAAAATATCTAAGCACCAAAAGATGATCATAAAAGGATCTGTTGGAAGGGCTGTGGTTACAGGGAGAGGAGAATAGATGTTTAGATCCAGTTGGTTCACTTCCCATTTGACCACATGTGTCTTGGTTACGCAACTCTGTAGAAATATTTAGGTCAATATTAAGTCCTCTTCTGTACAAGTGATTCATTATTCAAAACTAAATGATATCTTTTTGAATAGGCAGAACTCCTCAAAATGAATGTTTCCCTGAATTTCATATGGAATTTCTGATTTACTTAAAAAAAAAAAAAAAAATAATAATAATAATAATAATAATAATTGCTCTCTGACTAGTTTTGACAGGTGACAAATGTTAAGAAATGAGAGATGACATGAAATTTGTGGTATATTTAACACAACAACAAACCAGAAAAAAAGCTTGATCTGAAACTGATAAACTTATAACTGTATATCTTCAAAGTTGAAGTTACTATGCAATATTGGCTCTTGTGAGCTTTAAACCCTGTTATATAATTGTTACCTCATAAAAAACATCCCTGGAGTTGTCTTTTGTTTCATTCACGCATTTGAGTTATTTTATTATTAGTCATCTCCAAGGCTCAAAATGCTCTGTTCCACCTTGTGATGTCATGAAGTGCTAGTTTTCAAGTTAACAGCTACTTTTTACCTTTATTTCAGTACAGATTAGCAATTCCAGGGCTGAAATTATCCAAACAATTCTAGTGAGTTTAAAAACACAGTGGAGTACTTCCTGTTTTACCATGTGAGATCACAAGGTGGACCAGAGTGTTTTCTGTTTGAGAGCTCAGCCTATATATGAAGGGTTTGTGTGTTAAACATGCGTGAATGAACATTACAACATAGATTAAGCAATAATGCAATATGGGTGTTTTAAATAAAGAGACAAAAAACATAATTTATAAATATTTAATGGATTACTGTGAGTCAATAAATAGGACAGATTATAAAAGCTTCAGTCACAGGAAAAACACAAGTTACAGTAGTGTTTGTGCAAAAGCATTCGAGTTGGTTCACTCCCTCTGAACATGTGAAGGTCAAATTGGCACATTTTCTTCACAATAGAGACCATTAAAAGTTATAGTTGTCCTCCTGGTACAGCCTTAACTTATATAAAGGAGAAGACATGAGCCCTTTGATTTTGTCCCAAATCTAATCCTGCTATCAATCATTTTAACAGCAAATAAATACGTAACAATATAGAATCTGAATTATATCAGGTATAAGATATTTGTACATTACTTTTTTGTTCCCTTTGGACTACAATGGGACAGAGCAGCTATTTACAATCAGTAGCCCCCTGAGGTTTTTAGACATATTTGGTCTCTTTTCCAGTAAACCATTTCCTCAAAAAGTACCTTAAAGAAAATGTATTAACAAAAATCCAAATTGTTTCAAAATCTTTCCAACACAAGAAAGAACTCCACTGGATATCAACCACTGCTGTTCCCTCTATGCAGTACACCATGTTCATTAATAAATATATTTTCACCAAACTTGTTTTAGTCCCATAACATCAGCTACAGAAGTCTGTCCACACCATAGACTGTATAAAGAAGTGGACTAAAAGAGTGTGACGTCACCCTTAGCGTTTGAAGCCCAGTTCCATATTAGGAATTGGAATTTATTTAAGGACAAAATCAAAATAAAAACTCCAGGATGATGTGGAGCGGGTTAATACGAATATTTTAAGACCAAAATGACGAAGCTCACTGCAGCAGTTACAGAGAAAGGGGTGACCATTTTTCAGTGTAAAGTCAACTGGAGCAAGAATCGATGGAAAGTGCTGGAAACGCCCCCATGCTCACTTCCTATTTGGTTTGCAGCAGCTAGTGCGTTAGCTGTCCATTTTTATATACAGTCTATGGTCCACACACGGGTGAGGACAGGTGAAGTTAGACAGAGTGTGGTGCAGAGCCATGTAAAGAGGCTGTGGAGGGCTCAGAGTGACCCCAATAAACATGGGTCAAAAGTTAGATTTGTTCAATCACATATTAGCTGGTTTTGAATCTCTCCAGACTGGATATCAAAAGCACCTGTGCAAATCTATGCAAATTCTGTCATTTGTTGTAATATGATTATTATTGATGAGTTAAATCTGAACTTGTGCACAAAATAATGTTGCATATTTTTGTTCTCCTGATATCCAGCCCGTATTTGGTCTGTTTTTACCTGAAGTACCTGAATAGTCTTGAGCCCTCCAGTGGCCTGTGAGTTTACTGCTCTACTTGACCGTCTGTCAGAATAAAAACACGATTTCCTTTCACCAACACTTTTCATTTGGATCCTTCAGTCCACTGCGGAGGCACTGCTGGATCAGAGAAACCCGATATGAGCCCAATCAGATTCTCTTGTTGATTTAAAAATTGCATCTTGTTCTTTGTTTTTGTGTAACTTGTGCGAATTCACAGTTTTATAAAAATACTCTGCTTTGAGGTAATTTAAAATAGATGTTTTTACTCTATGTTGGTGAAAGGCAAAGGTAGGATATATATACAAAGTAGTGTATTTGTTATTCTATTTTTAGCATGCAAAATAGTATCACCTATAGATAAGATATAACATTTAACCACCTTTTTATGGGAGAGTTTTATAGATAAAATGGTTGCCTTGTCTTGTCCCCCCCTTTAACAGGTACCATAAAAATCCTTCAGTGGTCATAATGTTATACCTGATCTGTGTACATATAGTAGTAGCCTTACATACTATTACATGTTAGTGGCACCTTAAACAATCCCAGGGTCTTTAAGGACTTGTATTTTGGTCAACTAAGCTGTTAGTTAAGATACCCCCATCTCTTTGCTTAGATCTTAAAATGTCTGTTTAATATTATCATGTCCCACTTGAGATGTATTTAATACGTGTGTAGTGTTAATGTATGTCAACCAAATCACTGCTTGTTTTAAAATGGCTTCAATATTTTTAGGCCTTGTGAGTAAAGCCATACTCCAAGCTGTGAAAGACTGAGAATCTAACAGCTCATTTGTCTCTTTGTCCTTAAAGATCTATTTGGGGGTACAGTTGAGAGAGAGTACATAAAAACAAGCTGGAATTGCACTTCTTAAAAAAACATTTAGATAAAAAAGGTGAAAATGGACTTTGAGGTCAGTCTGTGTGTGGACTCCTCTTTAGACGGTTAAAAAAAACATTTTATACCAGTGGTGTTATTTTGCTGAAAGACAGTGGGGCATGTGACTATGGCTTAATCTGAGATGTCCATTGACAGAAATAGTCTGTCAATGGAAATATCCAATTCATTAAAACATCTTTATGAGCTGCTGAAAGATACGGAGGCTTAAACACAGCACCCCAAACAATTATATTGTAACATATACTTTCATTTTGGACTTGACATTTAGTTATCAAAATTCATTTCAACTGTTACATGCCACGTTCATGACAAACACCTGAAATTTCTTTTAAATATCTTTTATATACTATATTTCTCTTTCCCTATTTTTAGGGAAACACTTCAAAAAGACAATGCATATTCAACAATCTATGTGAGCTATGGAAAAATGTCTATCTAATAAATTGATTTGAATTTTTAATCAAAGGAAATGTCTAATGTTGGACGACTGCTGAATCTGTAAAGATCAAAGTAATTATGAAGCACTTTTAAAATATCAAATGAAAGTAAAACTGCAGAAAATCCTTCTAACTGTTGTGTTTTAACCTCATCTGGAACCTGCAGCGAAAAGGAAGACAAATTCAGAACAGTGAACTCCAGCTCGTTCACTCCACAGCACACATCTGGATTTATGCAACATTGCACCAGTTGCCACACTGCGATCCAAGGTTGCACACGCTCTGAAATCCAAATAAACTCAAATTCATCCACACTTAATTCAGTCCAGGTCCAAACAACACCAAACATAAATTTAAACTAAAACTGAACTAAACCCGGTGAATAACAATTTGAGCATCTTGTTTTGACAGTTCTGTAACACTGAGAACAGATAACTAGAAAAATAACTGGAACAATCAGATAACCCAGTAATTAGATTTGATTTTTGTGTTTACATCCACAAAAGAAATCTGATCATCAAAAAACTTGGAGACATGTGTCAGTTAATCAATAGATTTTTAGAACAACTTTTCAAAGAATACAAAAAGATGAAAAGATGAAAAAGGATTTCATTTTTGTCTTTTTCATATTATGCTCTCAAAACCAGCACAGGTGTGAACAATGAGCCAGAAATCAGATTACTCACATAAGATATAACTGAAATCAGAAATCAGATAATGACCAGACTTTTGGTGTGCGTGTAAACATAGCCTCTAAATGTAATAAATTAAAACTAAACGCAATAAATCCATGTAGTGATTTAAATGTCTTGTTAAATTCATGTCTTTATGGACTACTAAATACTTGGACCCTTGCTCACATCTTGGTGATGTAACTTGTCGCTGTGCGGACGCAGCTGCTGTGACACTTGGCTTGGGGGAGTCGCGTCTGCTTTATTGCACTTCCATTAGATTCACTTTAGGAGCCTTAAAATAAAGAGCGCGATGTGATTAATGTTAGCGTCCGTCAGTTGTCATCCAAGAGCAGTAGTCTGTGCAGTGTTTATCGCGCTCCCAGGCCCACTGCTGCCTTCGCCATGGCACGCAGACAAGCTAACAGGTGGGGCCCGGATTGGGTGACAACAAGAAGAGGAGGAGGTGAAGGAGGAGGAGGAGAGGGCTTCTTGAGAAAAACCATGAGGGAGTCCACCAAGTATCACACGGCCATCCAAGCCAAGCCCAAAATAGAGGGCTTAATTTGCCAACTGCGATAAACAAAAAGCTGCAAGGAAATTCCCCTCAATTGTGCTAGAACCCTATTAAGCTATACTTTACTATATATAAACTTCAGTAACGTTTGTAAATTCTTAAGTAAATTCTGCTTCTAAAGGAGCACTGTGTCACTTTTTTGATAGAGGGTCAGCTAACTGCTTGTGTACATGAGGATGTTATTGTTTCGCCTGGAATGTTCCAGTATATGCATCTCTATAGAGACAAGCAGACAAAGTTACAAGGCCAATTTACAGGTCAGATCTGTAGAGAGGCAACTTCACTCACAGTGACAATTCAGTTTTTTAAGATATTTTTGAGCAAGATAAATACGTTTATTTCAATACAGTTGAACATTCGGGGGAAAGTGATAGCATCTCTATTGAAAAAAGCCTGTTACAGACCCCTTCACTTGAAAAGTTCCAGAGTGCACCTTTAAAAGGAAGAGTAGGAGTAGAGAGTGTTATCATTTTGAACACTGCTACTTAACTATTCTACCCACCTCTCCTTGTAACTTACAGCCTGGTGTCATGGTTCAGCAATATTACATTTGTCTCCACTTGTAATAACTCATAACTTGTCTGTACCTACAAGAACTACATTGATTTCCCTCTTCAAGTCGACAAATGCAATCTCAACTTGTCAGTTGCCTCTTGAAGGGTGATGTAATTGAAACTAAGCGGCGTTTAACTTTTCCATGGCTCCGAAGGGAAACACAAAGTGATGTATCTGATAATAATGGAACAACCCTTGCAGCTGCCAGTGCACTTGGACATGTAGTGTGTATGGTGCGAGCCCTGAGCCCTGCCCTACCCCGCCCTTGCCCCTCCCAGTGTTTCTGGTGTAGAGACGGTCAACAACATACAGACAGTTCATTCATGGGTCAAACAGGTCGGGCTGTGGGTGTAACTCCAACTCTCGATTGAAATGCTCAATTTCTTTGTTGGCTTCAGTGATGTACTCGTCAATGAACTGGTCAATGTCTGAGGAAGCACTGATATAAGGGAAACAATATATGTACACAAATGAATAATGAGTTTTACTTTAAGAATCCTATGGTTCTGTATTCAAAGTTTGAGTGCTCAGAAAATTGCTTGTTTTCACCTTCATACATACAAAGATGAAAAATGTCATGTAGCTGTTTTAAATCAATATAGCTTTAGGTTTACAATACCAAATATCTGAAAAAGCATACTATGTTTTATGTCATATGTAAATTAACTGTACATCAAGCAAAGGATACTTGGATGTAGGTTTCTTTTCTCTCCAAAGAAGTTCACAAACTGGCAACCATTGTAGAAGTAGCCTGCTGGTAATGGATCCAGATGCCTGGCTGCCTGCTCAGATACACAAATGAATTCACATCATGTTTATCGATGAGTCATATGAGAACATAAATACTCACATGTATTTTGTTGATTTCGTATGAAGTGAGGTTGGCTTTGGTCTTCTTGGTCTTCATTATGGGTTTCTATAAAATAAAGATACATTTCAGTTAGTGTCTTGCTTGCAACAGTCAAAACACTTTGAATGAAACCTATTAGTACCTACTTGAGAGACTACTACTACAGAGACACAACAGTTGAATGATAATGTTAATACTCTGTTGTTATCGTTCTGCAGTGTTATAATGTAGTTGCAAAGGGTAATCTCAATAAATGTTTGTTAAAGGTGCACTACAAAACATTTTTGGTGCAAGTTCTGTTACCTGCCAGTCTCCGTGGAGATATTATTGCTTTGCCTGGATTGTTTCACAGTATGGCATTTAACTTATCGCTTGGCAGAAAAGCAAGTGATACAACCAGACCAAGTAACAGATCAAATCTGGGGGAGGCGACTCCACCCACAGTACAAATGCATGGTTCTCAAGGTATTTTTTTAAGTTATAAAAATGTAAAGGCTGTAAATGAATAAATGTGTGACAGATAGGTCCAATGCTATACTGTGGAGCACCCCAGGCAAAGCAATATCTCATGCATCTCATACATCTCATGGACACAAGCAGGTGAACGATCACCCACTTGTTTCATAGTGCACTTTAAATTCTTCAAATTTATCTTCTGTTGTTATTGTCCTACACAGGGTTATAACACTGCAGCTACAAAGGCTAATCTCAACAAATGTTTGTTTCAACAAGCAACAGACTTAATTTAACAGTCATCATGTTTTTTCCACCTTTATGTTAATGTGTTTGCTGTGTTTATGGACTTACAATATTACAAAACATTCGAGCTCTGTACACATGTCTACCTGCTTGGTGCACATTCGGAGCCAGTCCTTCAGTCCATTTTCAGTCAGACCCACCCCATCAAAGACCAGGAAAAAGGAAGTGGTCTCAGGACTGCTGGCTGGGACAACATTGAGGGTCCCACTCACGGTGTTGTAAGTCAACTCCGCAGTTTGGTCGGAGTCTGAAGGCCCAAAGAAGAAAGCCTGGTTCACATCTCATAAGACACCTGCCACAGAGGCTCTACATGCTGCCAGCAGGCTGTCTGAGCGCTGTTTACGCCTTTACATACATATGACCTTTGGGTGACCCCAATGCTTCCCAGAAATCACACGTGTTTAATGGAAAATGTCTATCAGCAAAAACATTAACACGTCTCTAACAGGCAAAGGGGTCTGAATACAAGGACATAACAATTTCACTTAGGCATTTCTAAAGCTATATACTGTACCAACTAGCTCAATATATTCACAAGTTCTATAGTTTCTAAGAATAGCCCTCATCACTAACAATGCATAGAGAATCTTCCTACCATTATCAGGCAAGTCTTCAAAGCAGGGCAAACATTTTTTTTAACTAACAATGAAAAGCAAAATAAAATAAATTCTTACTTTTCTTACTGTTTACTTTTCTTTTACACATTTCATTCTTGAACTTCACTTAAACTGCACTCTACTATACACTAGTGTTTTTAGTTTAATTTATTCAACGGTGATTACTGTAGTGGTTACATTGTTAATTGACGTGTCTGTGTATGTAAATGTCGTCCTGTTTGTCCTGTCTTGTCTACACGTGCAACAGAGAGAAATGTAATTTCAATTTCTTTGTATGTCTACTACATGTGAAGAAATATAGTTCAATACAGCTAACTCTGAACTTTGAATTCAAAATAGTTCCTTACCAGAAAAGCACACTCTGCCTGAAATATTGTAGACATTTCCATGGAAGGGGTTGGGTTTCAAAGATGATTTTAATGCTGCAATGAAATCAAATGAAAACATATTAATATACATATTTAACAGATTTAACAAAGCAATACTGCCTGATTACAGTATTTTATTATATTTAGCAATTCCTTTGTTAATTTCTGCAAGTTATTTCAGTCATATGGGGCAGTTATAAGGCTCATAGACAATTACTGTGTGAAGTTGTCTCCATATTTGTAGGTGTAGAGCTTATATAACCCTGGTCAAACTCTGCCCACTTGTATCTAAGGCTCGTGTCACGTGTAAAAGTAAAAGAGGGCCAGGCATTTTGTTCCATCTCACCTTTGCAGCGGGCGACAAATAAAGGCCTCTCCAGGGGCCGAGTGAATGCCAGGTGCCACTGTGAGTGGACCACAGACCCAGCACCAGTGAAAAACCGCCCTTTGCACCTAAACCACAACAGAGTCACAAAGTTATGTCTAAAACAACTCAAAGACTGTTTCAGGATAACTGAGGAGCTTCTACTTTAGAGGTCTACTTCTATATACACATATACAAAAAAAATAAATAAAATAAAAGTAATTGTTTGCTTCCTGTGGCTGGTATGTGTGCCCTCATTTTACAACATTTCAAAACACTTTCAAACATGGAATCAAATGGTTTTCATTGTTCTAATCAAAATCTAACCATGGAAAATGTCTTAAATTACCTGCAAATGTAATCAAAATATGGCATCATGCATTTTAATTACAGTGCTACAATACAATAAACCCTTGTTAGCACAAAAATTGCTTTTCAATACTGAAGTTTTCCCTTTTACTTGAGACACATTTACCTCAATTAAAGCTCACAGGTCAGTGAAGGTAGTGTCACATGTGTGTGTATAGTATATATGGGATTTACTGAGGTTCACATTAGGCTGAGCACTGAGGCATAGCCCTGCTCCAGAGGAGGCAGACCCCCTGTGCGTACACGGCCGTAGCTTGTTACTGTGCTTCCAGGAGGCAGCTGGTGAGAGAACACAAGCCGTCCTGAGGGGCTTTACAGCAATCAGCCCCCGATACCCCCAGCACACACGCCGCCAGGCAATTAAGCCACAGGGAGGAATCCAGGCTGCAGTGAGAGGAGCCAACTCTGCACCAGGAATCAGGACCAATCTGCTGCTTGAAGGTTGAGTGGACAGCACACAGGGGTCACATTGAGGAGCCTTACCAGCCGGGATAGAGGACGTAACGCGCTCTCAGCATCTGCGCTTCATTAAAACTGCTGTCTGACAATATCACATTCACATCTTCAGTCCTAAAGGAGAAAAGAGGAGATATATTTTTCTAATTATGGCAATTAAATACATTCTACAAGAGAATGGGACAATCCATGCAGATCTCTGTTAATCTTTTATTTCAAGGACAACTTAATGTTTTCAATTATACTGGCAAACCATTATGTTTTCTATGTATTAAATAATCATTCAATAATTTGTTGAATTTCTGTATTGGCATTCAGATAAATTTTTCCTTGTAATTGACTGTAAATAGACTGTATCTGGATTGTAACGATGAAATTATACAGCTATAATGAATACAAATCTGACCATTCTTTTTTGCGTAACCCTGCTATTCCACTAACAGAATAATTAACAGTCAATAGTAAACCTTAACCTTACAAGCAGAAGTAATAATATGAAAGAGCAAGTCTTTTTTATGCAAGGAGTCTACTCAGAGAGGATTTCACAAAGCTTTGACTGGACAGATTTAGACACTCGCCAGTGTAAAAAAGAAGTTGTATCCTGTAGTGAATATATTGTGAAATGATAAAGGCGGTAAAGTGACTGTTTGTGGCATTGATCGTAATTCAGTGGGCGCATACCTGGTGACAGCTCCTTTCTCAGCCAGGATGAAGGCGGCGGTGGGGTTGGCAGAGCGTACCAGCTGCTGTACATGCTGCAGGAGGGGGTGCTTCTGCTCCGCTGTCAGACCGGTGAACACCACTGTACTCACAATACCTGAAAGACGGCAAAGAGCAGCAAGAGGGAGAAAAAAATCACACACATTTCCTATTTTATGTATATAGCCATGGCAGGAATAGCACTCCACTGAGGTTCATTTTGATTTCAGAGTGGTGTGTCTCGTTGGCTTACCTTGGCTGCATTGCTCCAGCAGTTTGGGGAAGGCAAATCTAAAAACAAAAGGCACAGTGCTTAGTACAAACTTCCCCTGAAAAGTGTTCTATTATTTATGTTTCATCACTATGCTGGACATTGTACCGAGGGAAGGTTTCAGTACACAGCACATGTAACATCAAGACTCTCAAATATTATTTTAAGGCAAGCTCTTGCCATCCTAGATTAAAGGGTCTGATTTCATTTGAAAATGCTTTTAATAAATTATGTGTGTGTAAATTAAGAGCTAGAAGAACATAAACATACTAGTCTTAGAAAAAAAAAATTTTTTTTGGTTGATGGTAAAATACTTGACCAATCTGAAAAAAATTCACTATAGAATTGAAAAACAAAATGGTTATTCTTATGTGATGGTTAAGTCATGTTAAATTTGACAAGAGATCTTTCTCAAATGACATCATTACTACTGGCCAATGAAAAGGCTTTTTGTAATTAAATTTCATGTGGATTAGAGAAAGCACTATTTATCCTGAGATATTTTTAAATCGATCAGTGGTTGGCCACTGAACAGCCATTCTGAGAGGGGCTTCATGTTATCAAAGCCGCAGCAGCACAGTGCAGCTTTTAGGAAGCCTGCATGCGGAGGCTCTTTGAAAGGCATTTATCTTTCTGTCCTGATGTAATGAACTGTCCACATCCATCACAAAGAATGGATCATGACTGACTGATGAGCTTCAATGAGGAGCGAGAGTGGGCCGCTCATGTGGATCAGGGAGATTAGCGGGCTATGCTGTGGGGGTGACAAGCGGGTCAGGCCTAAGCTGGGCTAACCACACCCAATTAGTGCTACACCGGGGTCCAGGGACGTCCACGCTGCAGCCCCTAGCAACAGCAAGTGGCAGGGGGCCTGCTGAAGATGTCTCAAATGGAAAAGTCAATACTAACTGCATCGCTGACTAAACCTCTTATGACACATTTTTCCACTGCAGAGTTGAGTGGAGCTGTCACTCATTGCAACAGGTCCATACCCAGACTCAAAATGTCCAACACTAGATAAGATCTCTATATATTACATAAATACTTTATTACATTAAAAATGAACTCTAAATGTAAACTAAACTGTTCATATGACTTAAAAAATTACAACAATTGATACTTTGCAGCTGATGTCAGCAACATTCCTAGGGGGTGCAAAGCTAGCAGAAAGTACTACTTTGGTAGAAGCTCTGTTACTCACGATAGACTGAATACTGAGCTTTATTTTAACACAATCTGACCAGAAAGAACTGAATTGGTTGGAACTAAAACAGGTGAGATGATTTCTGTGATTCAAAAGTCTCTCACACATAAAATTAGAGTCACAAGCAAAAGGTCCATGAACACTCAAAGGCTCCTGAAAATGTGTTGTTTAAATTCACATTGGATTTTTTCTTGAGTTTTCACATTTAAAATCTTAAAACTTTTTTGTCAGTGTTTGCTAATGTGTGCATTATCTCACCATGGTAACTGCATCAACTGCAACATTCCACCATACATGTAAAACACCCCCAGCGTGAAGTCAATAGAGCAACAGTAATAAGAAAACATAGCTCTTCTGGTTACCACATTGTGATTTGTAACAATTTTACACTTTGCAGAGTGTATTTTTTCTATCTTAAGTACTTTGAGCTTGTATCATTTAATTATGATTTTCCACGGTTGGAATATTATCTTTTGAAAATAACAAAACCCTATATCTTCAAATGTACATCATCCAAACACTTTTCTGGAAATGTCTCTTGGTGGAACTTTCACTAAAATAATTGCTGGCCTTGCTTCTCACAGGGCAGCTGAAAAGACTATTAAACAGAGTGGTATGTCGTATTGTGTGGAGTAAAAGAGTCAATCTGTGACAGTGAGAAGCTCGGTAAGCTACGACCAAAGCCTGTGACAAAAGCACAGTCAGATTAAATGTGGGTCTGATCCTCTCTCTGAAAAGCAGCAGGCCTTGAGTTTTAATAACCAAAAGTGTCACGTAACCTCCTGGAAACATTGAGTGCTTTTGCAATTTATCAACATCCTCTCCTGTCTGTCATACCAGTGTTCGCTTGGGTCATTGCAAGACACGGAAATGCAAATGAAGCCTTTTGGTTATTTCGCTGTATTTTGACTTGTCCAAAGTTAAAGTTTTGTTTTCAAGTTCGGTGTTTCAACAAAACTTAAAAACGCACTGCGTGTCTTTTATTTTCTGGCTAGTCACCTGCTTATCTTTATAGATATATTAAAGCCTTACCTGGAAAGTATGGAATTTACATAATTGATAAAGCATTTATGGAATTGTGGGTGTTTTTAAAGCTGAAAAATACTCATGTTCATACTGTGAGTGGGGTGGCCTCTCCACAGATCTGACCTGTAACTTGGCCTGGTTTTCTCCATGGAGAGAGATACATTTAATGTCATACTGTAGAACACCCGTGTCAAAGCAACAACATTTCAACAGAGACAAACAGGTGATGGACCCTCCATTAATAAAGTTTGTTAGAAACGTCTGTTATCTGATAGGTCATCAAAATGTTCAAATTACAGTTAACAGGAGCAGAGCTTATATATTATTACTGCTATAGATATATATAGTCTTGTGCAGTAGTGAAATTAAAATGCCTTCTTCAGCTCGGATAACGAGTGGCCTGTGTTAATCCAGGTGTGAACTCTCTCGGTCCTGAAATCCATTACTTACGGCACAATGGGAAGCTGGGGCTGCTGTGAGTGGGTCTTTGTGCTGTGTGAATGGGAAGAACCAAAGCAGATCTTCATTATGTTACCTGTGCTCCATGCAGCAAGCTAGGGGGTCAATGCAGGCAGTGACTGCGCCTATGGTGAAACGTGCCTGGGCGCCTGGATCAGGGTGGAACAGGATAGCCTGGACCACATCCAAAACATCTGTGTATCTGTGGAAAACACATTGACTTCTTATTAATAACTCTCCAGTAAGTCTTGGAAACAACCAAGCTAGTGAGAATTACTACACCATAACATCTTGGGTCAGAGTTTAGTGATAAATAGACAAATATTATGAGAAAACATAGACCTGAAAGATATTGCAGATTTGTCATTGCCATACACAAATCTATGTTCTTTCTTTGGCAGATATGCTCATGTAAAAAGTATAGTATAGCATAACCATCATCTGTTCTTACTGGTTGTACTTCTAACACACTGCAGTCAAAGGAAGCTTAAACACATTTTTAACCATATGGAAATGAAAAAGTTTTTTTTTTTTAATAGATCAGGTATTCCGATTTGCAGTGTTCTGTAATGTTTCTTATAAAATCCCAAAGCTATTTAGTGAGACAATGTTGGCAGATTCCTCTACTGAAGCCCTTGTTTTGTTTGTTGCTAAAGTGGTGTAATGCGGTGTCTTTGTTTGTGCTCAGTGTGAGGCAGGTCCCGGGGCGTCCCTACCCAGGTGAGAGCAGCAGCAGACGGGCTTTGCCTCTCAGGCCTGGGTGGCTCTCCAGGAAACCAGACAAGAACTGCTGGAGGTGAGAGGCTGAGAAACGGTCGCAGCTGTCAGAACCAGCCTCATATACCACCCACCTAAAGGGGCATCACAGAGCGCAGAAGATTTCAGCTGTCAGTATTAATAAGTTAACAGTAATTCAACAACATTTAAAACATGAGCAAGTGTTTTCAAGTGAATTCAAGCCTGTAACTGACACAACACAAGAATACATTACTATGCTAAAATTAAAATAAATATAAAGAATCAGAAAACCTTCTCAATTCATAATTATAATTTTGAATAAGTTATTAATAAGTTATTTCACTGTCCATTAATTGTACCAAGAAGACAATGGATACACATTATCTCTTGAATTTACTTGACCATTTGTAAAAATATTGAATACTTTGCTTGTTCCTATAAAATGAAATACTGCCATTGGCAGATCTTGATTTTGACAAGTTCAAACTGAATTTTTAAAAACAGTTCAGGAATATATTGCAAACCTTCCACGTTCTTGGCTGAAGTTCACCAGAAATTGACCAAGTCTAGTTTTATGGCTCCCAGGCAGCCCAGTGATGATGGTAATGACAACCTTTAATACATGAAAAAGCCCAGGTCAGATAAGCACACCTTTACAGTCACTCGGTGTAGGATAATAAAAAGGAAAGGCCGTCCTCTACCTTGTCTCCTTGGCTCTTGACTGGTTTCCTCAGCTCAGTGGAGGGGAAGAGTGCCCCCAGGTGATCATTCAAAATGGGCTCATGACTAATGCTACTTAAGGCAAAGTGCTGCAGAAACCTGGGGAGAGCAGGATATGGGAATTAGAATGGAGAAAAGAAATGTTTTTCTACTTGATACTATTTGGCACGGCTATATATTAAGTGCATTAAATTATTAGAACAAATGCTGATATAGTCTCAATTAAAAACATGGAAGAACTAAAAAATTCAGTATTAAAGTCAATATGCTTTGTCAGGACTTAAACAACAAAAGTCAAAACAAGCCATCCCTAAATCATGAATAAAAATACCCTCTTAAATTATTTTGGAAAGATATAAATACAGTTTATTATGAATGGGACTTAGCATCATGTTTTATTGGGGGTCTAGTCGAGCTCTAAAGCCCTGTATCGAGAGTGGAAGCTGTACAGACATGTCCAACTCTGGCAGCTGAGAGCAGGAGGTCTTCATGTTTCCTCTGCGTTTGGCCACTGGGGGCTCCTGACTGTCGTGCAGCTTCTGGAGTCTGCGGTGCCTGGAATATAGAGTTTTCAATTACCTTTAAAAACTCAGGATACAAACAGTTGAATTAGACACTGGTATAAATTTACTATAAATAGATGGGTTTAATGCAAATATAGGCCCTACATGTTTGTGTGGATCCAGCCCAACTGTTCTTGGTCCAAAATCTGTAGAGTCACTCTGAAGTCCGAGCTTTGCCAAACAGGCAAAACCTATAACAATAAGAAAAATAGGATAAAATCATAGAAAATCTATGAAAACTCTTTTTTCAAATGCATGTTTTGTTTGTTTATGTATAATCAAGCAGCAAGACTTGACTTGTATAATCATTGTGCATAGAGACAATGATAAATAAATAGAGAGGAATACATCCTATGCCATATCTGATCTCAGAGGAGGATTAAATAGAGGTCAGATTCTGCTGTCCACAGATGTCTCAGTGATCCAAAGGGAAGGGGACCCTCTCGTAAAGTTTTTATCCTGTGCTAACACCCAGAATGTCCTACCTTAGAGAAAAAGGCTCTGTGACTCTTGGACCGAGGCTGTAGAGCAAACACCAGACACTGGTCTGAGCTGTGCAGAGGAAATGGCAGGTGTGGAAGCAGTGTTTTCTCATACTCCACAAACAGAGAGGTTAAAGAGCTGGAGTCCTATGAAAGTACAAAAAGAAAATGTGTAAATAAGTGAGAATGTGTTTATAAACAAATACAACCACTTACTGTGTCATATAGCTTGATGGAGCTTATGTGATCTCTTGAAATAGTGATACTTCCATATTGACAGTGGATAAACAAGAGCCCCTCAGAGAAGAAAACAATCTTCCCTAAAAATACAAGCAAACATTCACACAGTGAAATGCCATAGATATACAGGACTGCAGATGGAAAGGAGCTTGTAGCTAAATCTGGCACAGAGCATCTTTTCTCTCTGAGATTAATGTTTTCTGTGCACTCATCTTGTTTTAAATAAATAAATAAATCACATTATACATAAAAACTTAACAATAAAGTTTTCATCATTACCTTCTTCAGGTGTGGAGAGATTACTGCTGGAGTGCACATAGGCAGCATCTGCAGCAGTCAGAGCAGTCCCCAAACAGCCACCTTCTTTCTATTCAGAATTCACAGAAATTTCTTCATCAACTGATTTCATTTACATACATCTACATTGTAATGCTCCTGTTTTCACTGCACCTTAGGATTTACCTTTGCGAGATTTTGTGCTTCTTCAGATTGTTTGACATCAGCTTCCAGCTACATTTTAAATACGAAATAAAGAGCAAATGTTTAAAAAACATATGCCACATGACCTATCATAATATTTAAAGGTTTATTTTCTGCTGCACACAAACCTGCCAGCAGGCGTAGCAAGGCACAGAAGTTGTGAGGACAGTGTAGCAGCTATCTGAGGACACAGTGCCATCTGGAGGACACAAAAAAACATAGATAACTAACCTAAACCCCATCAGCTGGATAATGTGAGGATGATAAATGACAAATGTTGCCTCAGAAACATACAATGAAATATTTTTAGCATCTGCTACTTCAGAATTACTAATGATGTCACGACTGACTTTAAATACATGAGTAAATTAGATCTGGTCTCAGAATCTATCAATCATTGTCTAATTGGACATGATCAAATCAAGGCTCGACCTTTTTGCTGAATGTTGATGCTGGACTCCAGGAAGGACTCGGAGAAGATGATAGAGCCCATATCGCCCCTGTCCCACTGTAGGTCTGGGATGTTGTGCACTGTCATGGAGGCCTTTGAGCACATAAGGACAAACAGAATTAGACTAAACCCTTAACATGGTAAGTATATAGAAGTAAAACAGTGTAGAAATACTAGTGAATGCTAAGTGAATGCTGAGCATAAAATATGCAGTTTTTTCACATAAATTTCTAGACATGCACTGCTTTAGTATTATATAGGATATGATTATAATTATATACTGTAGTGAATAACCATACAATTATGAATCACATAACACATCTCCTGAACTCAGTGCTGAGTGCAAATAAAAAGGTACAGATTGGCAAAAGTAAATGTTTTACTAAAGGGAGAGTTATATATTTTAAAATACCGTTTTCACTAAGTAACTACTGCCATCATCGTCCAGTGGTATTACTCTGAAACAGAAAAATAATTACTGAGACAAATCTTTTTTTATTTTTTTGTAGCGCAAAAGCTGTAAATCATATTAATTTGACGATACCTTCCTTCATTATCCACTGCCTGAATATTGAATTCACATTTAGACCTTTAAGGGGAAAAATGCAATTCAACATTATACACACACTGATATCTATTAATAACATGCTATCTGTTATTACCTCAGAACACTGCGATATTGACATAAACTCATGGAGTCTAAAGCCAACAAAAAGGTGTTTTCTGCCACATCCTTAGCCTGGAATATAATGACAAATCTGTAACTTCACAAGCAAAAAACAAGGCATGATGATGTGTTAAGATACTTACTTTAATCAGACTAGTGGTGGATGAGTAACACTTGATTCCTGATAGAACAGCCTGAACAACTGCTGCATAAATCTGTGACAAAACTCTTTAAAAATAAAATAAGAAAAAAGGAGATTGTACTCCCAGGTCAGGAAAATTTGAAAAAAATTAAATCAAAGAAAATCTACTTACAAAACTTCAGAGTTCTTCTGTTGTGTGTTCTCACATGCTGCAGGTGCAAAAATAATAATAATATTTTTTTTTTTGGATTTCAACAAGCCTCTAACCTTCTGCACTTGTGATATATCATTAAGAAAATAAAACTACACCCAGCACCAGAGACACACCACCCCAGGGTACACAGAGGCTGTGCTGGATTACCCAATGAACAAACACTTACCAATGAATGGGCTATGTGTGGTCCCAAAAAAATAGGTCCTTGAGCAGGAGAGAGGTCCTTTAGGTGCCACACACTGCAGAACCTAGAGTAATGGCTTTGTTAGGGCACAGTTAACTTAATATCACAGGCACTGACAATCCTTATAACTCTCTACTATACTCTGGGGTCTGTTAATTACATGGAAATAATACTGTATTAGTTAAGATTTTGAGCATAAAATTACAAATTCTTGTTTGTGGTGATCAGTACATTTTATTGAATGTGGGCTTTAATAATGTTGCAACTTGAGATTCTGAATAAATTGTTGTTGTAAGAATAAATTCTGAGACTTTTTCTGTCATTTTAGCAATTTTTTTTTACCTCTTCTGCTTACCATGTGTCTGGCAGTGGAGCCCTGGGGCCCAGTGTTGCGGACCTGGTGACTCTCTGAGGGAAAGTTGAATGAGTAGTTTTCAAAATCCTCAGATGAACTGTGTCTTCCAAATAGCACAAAGGGCTGCTGATTTTTACTGGAATAAAATAAAATAATAAAAGCATTACAAGAATGGCCAGTTCTGTAATTATGTACACACAACTAAATGTGATTAATCACCTTTTATCAGTAATATTGCTTGAGATAAGTCCATGGGAATAGTATGTTCGAAACGACTGTGGAACAAAAATGAAACAAATCGGTCTGTTTATCTGGGGTAGCTACAAGAGTTCAATATTATATACACTGGTGATGAAATGATAACAAGCACATATAGGCAAGCAGCAATATGCAATAACTGAGCTTGTTCTTTGACAATATTATTACTGTAATTATTATCATATGGCTGTGCTCACACACAAAGGATAACCTGGCAAGCCTGTTGCTCTGCTTCTGTGTTACTGATCTAATAATGTCTAAACTGACCGCTCCCGCCTGAGCTTCAGACAACTCAAGAATGGACAAATGGCTCTCCAGGTCCATGCTGGAGAAGAAACTGCTCCACTGCTTCTCAAATGTGACCAGGTCCTAAAAGAAGAACATCACTTACAGTACATGTTGTTGTATACAGCTGTTATGACAACAATAGATATACAGATGTGTTACCTCTGATAGAAAATGCTCAAGAGACACTGGGTCCAGTTTGTTATACACTTCCCACAATTTCTCACTCATGTCGATGAGCTTAAAATAATAAACAGCATCAGCAGCTGTCAACAATGTCTGAGGATGTAAACAGTGTTAAAATGTACCTTGAATTTTAAGGTAAAGAAGCTCCCTCCACCAATGCCTTCCAGAGCAAATGCTTGAATTAATGGCCATTTTTCAACCATGAACATATCAAACTTTTGAACATGTTCTGAAACAAAGATATGCAAAACAGGGTACATATATGTATTATTAATTATTAAAATATGGATGGCATGATTGTGCAATTATTATGTATTTACCTCTTGAGCTGTAAGGTACTCCAATATTGTAACAGTTCTGCACCATACTAACAAAACTGGATATTTTAAATTCCTCTGCAGCTTCCTCGTCTTCATACTGGAAACAGGAATTAAATATTTAGAAACGGGAAGAAAGATTATCTACAGTGTATGAAATATAGAAATATAAGCATTACAAACCTCTGCTTCTGTCATGCAGTAGAGATGTAGGTTCCTCCAGTGAGAGATATAGGGCAAAAGGTAATTATAATTCAGAGGGTTGCAGTAAAGATGAACACACTCAGACTTAATCAACAGGATGACATCTGAAAAAAACCCATAAGAAATTAATAGGCAGCCAAGAATTAGACAGTTTGAGAGAGAACAATATACCATCAAGCATCTCCTCAGAAAAATCCCCATTAGTATTATCAAGATTGGGCTGTTTTCTCCCATATAGTCCGTAAAACAGGTATTTGGCGAGCTCTGTGCATCCTTCATTATATCTGCTATCAATTCCTGCAAAAAACAAAACAAAACAAACAAAAAAACAAAACAAACAATTAACATAATATAGCAAAAAATATTGGAACTGGTTGTATTAAGACAATAACAAAAACATACCAAGAGAGCACAGTATTCCGTCTGGAGTTGCAGTACCACTACAAAGCAAAGATTGGACCTGGCGCAGTCGACAGCAGCTTAAAGAAAAATAAAAAATAAAAAATCTGTTAACATGGGTCACAGAACCTACTTGATTTTTTGGACTTTAGGTTTTCATTTATTTTTGGCTTCAAGCACGGGTCAGTAGCATTAACAGACATGACATAAAAAAGGTTGAAATAATTATAATTACAATAGCCTAAGCCTATTATTAAATCAGTTTACCTGACCATTTTTTGAGAAATGAATGTGCATGTAAAGAACCTTTTTGTATGCCACAGGAACTAATTAATAGTGCTCTTATTTAATCTTATGAAGGCTTTGTAGTCCCGAGATTCTGCAAGGTGTAAATCAAAAGCAGATATACATGGCATGATATTACACTAGTATGGTTTAGTTAAGTCAAAAAATAAATAAATAAATAAATGTTTCTCGTGTTGCTTTTACTTTCTCACAAACAACGTACCTGATAAAACCATTATAGGACTTATAATATATATTACCACTTTTATCTTTGCATTAGTTTGCAGTTAGCGCTTATAACTGCCAAAGGAATGTCGATACAGCTGTTCTGCTAACGCTAGCGCCATACTAGCTTTATTGCTTGATTACAGTTAATATCGCCATTACCTTACAGCTGGATTGACACCAGAATACTTCCCATTCAGCCTCCTTATACCGGCCATAATGCCACCGATATAACTTGTAGGAGTCGAAAAGCCTCAAGAATACAAACGTTAAATATTTTCAGGCCCGATCACTGGTTACATCTTCTCCATCACCCTGGAGAATGTCTACAAATAACGTAGCAACGGGGCATACCAACGCAAATGTAGGGGTGTAAAACGAAATATTTACTGGAATTATACAAACAGCACCAGCTTACTAGATCTACAAAAATCACAAAACATGAAAAGTAAATATTGCACAGAAACATACATTCAGCAATCATGTATAAAGGAATTTGAACGTTTTGTAAATAGGTATGTAAAACGAAAACCCACTTTTTGTGTTTTAGTGCAGTCTTGTTTTAGGCCGTTGACAGTAGAGGAGCAAAGGCGATGGTGCAATCCCCCAGCAATGAGTCACGTTGCTCTGCTTGTTTCTTACTTTTTTGTAGATGCAAGACTTAAATGAACAAACCAAAAGAGTACATTTAAAGTAGCATGTTCGGGAGGTAAGAATATATATGTAAGAGACCGTTACACAATGCCAATTCAATGATTAAAAGTGCTTTTCCAAAACATTTTAATACGCATTTTACTTTTAAAAGCGAAGTAAAATTGGCATCAAGAAAAAAGAATGTGCAGCTGAAACGCCCACCTCGTGTCAAGGTTTAACCAATCAGATGAGCCAGAACAGCTGATCTGTCACATGACCGCAGCTAACATGCAGCTAGCCGCTTAGCATAACACTTGAGCGATCAAGGCACAGGAGAGTTACGGAGTGTAGCAGTCTCAGATATGGGGAATACCACTCAAGTCAATATGTGAGTAACTTGGATGTAAATTTAGACATAGTTATTGCTTTGCTCTAGCGTTAGATTTAAAATAATGGGAGGCAAGTTGCAAGCAAAAGTGAAGTAGCTTTACTCTCAGCTTCAGAAAGTCAGCAAATTTGAAGCTAATGCTAACAAATTCAACTGATACAAAACCAGAGATTCCAGAGATGTTAATTAAATTTTCACAAACCGATGTTAAAAGAGCCTCACAATGGCACTGCACTATGTTGGATTTTTTCTTGATGCATTAAAATAGCTACTTTCATAGAATGAAATGCTCAGACTGTACTTGGAACATTTTGTTCAACTTTAAGTTTTAATAGTGGTTATGGTTGTTCTTACCTTCTCATGCGATGATTAATCAAACACATATTCTTCGTTATCGTTTGTCTGATTAGCACAGTGTAGGCTTTATTTTACTGTAAAGAGTGAATAAGTTACATTTTAAGCAATGGCAAGATCTGTTGTTATGCCATCAGTGAAATGTGTCAGTAAAGTTTACGATCTCAACATAGATTATTTGATTATTTAGACATGTATTTATTTATTAAGTATACACACTTTGCTTATATACCTGAATGCCATTTTGGATAAAGAATACATTTTCTCTTGAAGGTGAAGAATACTCTGGAGTGCTTTGAGGGCTATTCTGTGTGAAGGTACTTGTGTGACCACTTCTGAGCTGAGCACCAGTGAACAGAGGCCATGCATCCCTTTGGCCGTGAAGCAGAGACCTCACTGGAGGACCTATTTTTTTACTTTAAGAAGTCTCTGCAGCATGGAGAATGGGAGCTAGCCAGCGCCTGTGTACCTCAGCTGGTGAACTCTAATGAGGCACTCTCAGAAAACCTTTGGGACATAGTCAAGTCTATAATCTGCCACCCATATGATTTGAAGTGAGTATTGTTAATCCCCTATGTAACTTGTATAAAACTGAGGAAAGGTAGAGTTAGAATGGCTTGAATGCATGTTGTTGTGTTTAGATGGCAGTCATTGGGCAGTCCACACAAACTGGCTTGGTACTGGCTTCAGGTTTTGGAGAAATGGTCAGAGGAGCAGGTAGGAATAACATAATTCTACTTTAAACTAATCATGTGAACCTATTACATGCAGGTTGTGTTATCTTTGTACGAACACAGCACTTGACTCATTTTACCTTGTAAACTGACTTCAAATCACACCACAGATTATTATTAATAATCCCTTTGACCCATCTTTTTCCACAGGTTTCTGCTACTGTTAGAAGAGAGCTGGAGTTTTTGCTTCTTTTAGAAGAGTTAGGGTCAGAGGGCATACCAACAGCTCAAATCAAGGTAATCTTTGTTTGATAAGAAAATTGCAGAGTCATTTTTGTCAGCTAAATATCAATATTTGTTTTTACCAGGAATTACACCGAATATTTACAACCCATTACACTGACAAAACAACCCCAGATGTTCTCAGAAAAACAAATGCTGTGATTGAGTCTTGTCTTCATACATTATTGGACAAAAAGAGGCCAAGACTTGCGCAGTCTTTTGTGTGCTTCTTACAGGTATAAATTGTTGTTCAGTATTATTAATTAATTGTTAATTTTGAAGCTTTTGTCAGAAAATGGTTTAACAATGAGAGGACAGTAACTTTTGTATTCAGTAAATATATTAAGTGGAACATTACAACAACTAATATAACTATTTTGCTAGTCATGCTCAGAAGAATCAACCCTTCAGCAACCATTCATCCAGCACCTCATAAAGAAATTGGAGGTGCCTGAGTTGAATCCAGAGAAGAAGGAGGAGTGGGTAAAGGACATTTGTGCTGTTCTGTCAGTAATGCCATGGAGCTCCAGTACAAACAATGGACAGTTTGAAGTCTTGTGCGAGGCGTTATGGACTGCCAGAGAGGGTCCGCTCAAAGAAGAGAGGGTCCTGAGCGCACTACTGAGGCCACAATGTGATACATTGGTCTCTATGTACTGCTCTACTGCTGTGAGGCTTCAAAGGGACCATCTTCTCAGGACTGGACCCGATACACTAAGTATGTGTTTTTTTTTAATACTTAACATCACTGTTATGGCTAGAAAGATTTGCACATTATGTTTTTGGTCAAATATTTCTCATAGTTCATCACACTGTCCTGTCTGTTTAAGCCCATGTGTTGGTTTTGTAGCAGTTCCAAGCATTCTAAGCACAGTTAAATCAAGTTCACAACTACAATTAATGAGTATTTATTATTGAATAACATTGTGCATTGTGGTTCAGTACTCTATTTAGCTGAAACAGAATTTTACTTCTAGCTTTTCTTTTCTTTTGCCGGTTGAAAGTGGTCAGATTCAAGTAGTGACTGCATGAATATCAAATGAGTTGTCACTTGTCACTTCCTCTTTTGAGCTAAATTTGTGGTCTGACATTTTGGTATGAGCACTTATACAACATGCTATATTTGGTAGAGGGAATCTTACATGATTGTCACATTGGATTAATTACACACAAATGGTTTGAATGGCATATTTAACAGCCAATTACAGCAAAGTCAGCTGCATGAATAAGAAAAAAAATGATTTTCATTTTAAACATCTAATGAATACAAGTTTCTGATTCTAATAAAAGCATTCTTATTTTCTTGATAGTTGAACTCCCTGAAGCCCAGAAACTCACACTCACTTTGTGTAGCCATAAGGATCGTCCCTCAATTTGGAAAACCATCTATTTCGAGTGCCTTAATAGTGGAAAACATTTTCTTGAACAAGTTTTGGTATGCATCCTCTTTTCCTGTTTGCATTTTGGAGTTGATCACTTGTGATACAATTGAATAATGAGTGTAATTATTTGTTGTAGGTTACTGCCCTTGACCTGATTAAACATGAGGAGTTTTCTCAGCTCAAAAATTTGCTTCTCTTGGAGTTTCGGCCTTTGTCTCGCCTCATTTTACTGCTGGGATGGACTCAGTGCCGCAGCCTTAACTCTGGTCAAACACTGCTGAGTATCCTCCATAATGAGCAGGTTAGATCAGATACTGAACTCTGTGCATTGTACTTTTTTTATTAAGCATATTGTTATTCTGTAGTGTTTTCATATCTGTGTCTGGTCCCTATCCTCTTAGGTGGCTGCTAATGATACAATTCTACAGGAGTTTGCCAATATTTTATCATCTCAGCTGGGGATACTTGAATGGTGTAAAAACAACAACCCGTAAGAGTTTTAAACTTACTGAGCCTTATTTTATTTTGTATTCTTCCTATTTAGTTATCATTGATGCTTTTGTTTGTAGTTTTAAATGCTAATGAAATGAGAGTATGTTAGCCTTTGAATGGTTAAATGCATCATTTCATTGTTGCCAGTATTTTTGAGGAAAAAAAAAAATCAATGTTCAATGCAGTGTTTGTTTGCAGGGAAATTTCAACAGATGCATTATTGGCACAACTTCACAGCCTGGACAATCACTCGGCTCTTTATATTCTACATTCCTTAATTCCACTGGCTCAATTTGAAGAGCACAAAATACTAGACATTCTAAAACAACTGCCAAAACACCAGCAAGCAACAGGTTAGTTTCTTTGTTCCTCCATAAAAAGATATTGATTCTACTGACCATTGCTATAGATACTGTATAATGTATAGTTATTTTGCTTTTCCAGATGAAACTGAGGCCATTCACAGCTTTAAGAACTCTGGTGCCCATAGGAACATTGTTTTGTTCCAGGGTTTTTGTGCCATGAAATATGCAGTGTATGCCTTGTGTATGAATGCTCATAAATACACCAACTGCCCCGAGTGTGGATCCAAGCAGCAGGATGAAGCATCTCAAGCAGAAAACCACCAAACCCCAGCTTCCTCTGAAGGTTTGCAAAATAGCCTTTATCCTCCTTGCGATCTTAATATGAGCATGAAACACATGATAAAAGCTCATTTCTAGTACTGTTTGACATAGTTGATGATACAGCATATTATTGAAGAGTCACAAGACACATTCAGTTTTATATTTCCTCTTCTTGATAAAATGTCACAGTCAACCCTGATAACTACTGGTGGTACCAAGAAATACTTTTAGGAAAGAAGGAAACTCTGTAGCAAAGGTCAGAGTTGTTTTTTTGTTTTTTTTAAAAGTAAAACGTATTAATACAGACAGAAGATTGTGGCCTGGTTTTATAGTGTTAATGTGTTCATTTATGTCAAAGCAATTGGCCAATGATAAGATTATAATACGTACACAAAGCCATTTAGTCGTTTTCCGATTCTAGAAAGTGATGTAGCCACGCAGATTTCCCTATTAAAAACATTGTAATTTGACATGAAATATCCAAAAGGTAAATTAAAAAATGTTGAACCTGATCATTTCTATTATTCACGAGATCCAAAAACTCATTGTATTACCATAAAAATCTGCATTTTAACAATATTAATTTTAGCGTATCTATATTAAATATTAGACTGTAGAATGTTGTTATTTAATCTGAAGCCCAGTAACACAACAGCAACCAGCCAACTCAACATTTGACACTGCCTTTCATTTACTGGCCTTTGTCATGAGAAATATACATTATAAGCTCTCAGGTTAACTAGCTGTACTATTTTTGTTTTTCTCCTTTAGGATGCCAAGTGGCTTTCCAGAGCTACCTGTCCGAATGCCGGTATTACCTAGAGGCCGTGCCTGCTGTGTTTCGCCTGGAGCTCATGGAAAACATCTTTTCACTACTTTTCTTATCCAGCACAGACTTTACCCTGCCAGTTATAAAAGATACAACAACATCCTCACAGGGTTCAAATACACAAACTCTTAATTCAACCAAAGACAGGACAGAGGAGGTTGAAGAAAGCTACAAAGAAAGTGAAAGCATGCCACCATCCTGTTCAACAGCGAGGCATCATTTGGACTTGGCACATTTTGTCCAAGGCTGTAGGGGTTTTTTGGTGGATGCCAGTGCCATGGAAGGACTTCTGAAGCTGTTGAAAGAGTTGCTGGATGCCCTGAGTGCCTTGGCGCAGCAGGATGCTCCCCTTGTTGATGTGGAGTTGGCAGAGAGCATCGGCTGTTCTGTGACTCCAGACTCCTTCATGGTCCGGCTACAGAGGCTAACCAAACGCACTGCAGAAGCTCAGTGGAGACTTCAGATCATCTCTTGTAATCACAGTACAGATGGTGAGACACATTAGACTTAGACTTAGACAAACTTTATTGATCCACAAGGGAGGGGGGAGGGAATTAGTAGCTCATCACAATATATTATAATAACAAATAGTAATATGTATTACAGTTGATCACATTTTTAGGTCCACAGAATTTGTACTGACTTTGATTGAATCTAGAATTATTGTACACTAGTTAACAAGAAAGTATGACCTAAATTCACCTCTATGATGTGTATTTTTGTCAAATCTACAAGCTTGTGTTGAGGCTTTGTAACTTTTCAACACTAATGGAAAATGGACTATAATAGGTTTTATAGGTATTTGCTCTGTAACTGAAAAAGTGAGATACATTGCATGCATATAATTGAAAGCATTTTTGCTATATAAAAGCCACTGATATACAAATGTTCAAATATATTATGTTCTAGGTACAGACAGCCCTCTTCAAACCTCGACATTTAGTTTTCCTACTTCGTCTCTGGGTCGTAGTAAAAGTTCAAGTCTGAGGAGGAGGAGGCGACATGGAAGACACTCAATAGAAAGGGAGAACTCAGTGGAGAAACACAATGGAGAAGTGAGCACCAGTGCCTCAGGTGGGATTAATTTAAACCAGGAATAACTGACCTGCTCAGAACATCACAAAATATACTCATACATACTGAAATACATGCACTTATTGATTTTGTAATCTTTTATATCTCTTTCCTAGATATCCAAATTACTTTATATTCATGAAATCAGTGGTATATTTTTTGTGTGAGCCATCATTTTACCAAACCAAAGTTTTTCTGAATTGAAAGAATGAATTTGTATGTAAAAACTGTACGCTCAGTTTAAAGGTGCATTGTGTAACTTTTCATGTGGTGGGTCATCTGCTTGTCTCCATGATGTTATTGTTTTGCCTGGGATGTTCTGCAGTGTGGTATTTTAACAAATCTTTTATTATATTATTTTTTTTATTTATTGAATTACAGGTGTTTTTAATTCTCAAAACTACCTCAAAGACATACATTCTTACTGTGAGCGGGACCACTTCTCCACAAATCTGATCGGAGATAGATAAAATTAATAAAAAATAAATAGTGTAGAACATTTCAGGAAAAAACTATAACATCTGGATTTAGTCAAGCAGGTGGTGAACCCTTTACCAGAAAAGGTACACAGTAACTTTACATGAAGTTCAGTAATAACACATTCATATACATTTGATAACAATGTATGAAGGTATATTGTTGTTTTATATTGCACTGACTTTTTTTTGTAAATATATGTAAATTTTCTTGTAGATGGCAATGGAGGGTCTACATCTACCCCAGACCTAGAGATTTGTCCTTGTGGAGGACCTCACAGTTGGCTGGTCCCTGCCATGTTGTCCACCCCAGAGTCTCTGCTCATATCGTGCATCCGGAGAGGGAACTATATGGAGGCACATCATGTAAAAGAGACATTATTAGTTTATTATACATCAACTGTTTGTTCAGACGTATGTGTAAGCCAAAAATGATACCTCTCTAGGTATCATTTTATCGTATCATAGGTATCATACCAAAAATGTTCTCTCTCTAGGTGTCTCAGATGTTTAATCTGGAAGCATCTGCGTGCTGTGGAGAGCTCGTGTTTATGGAGCATTATAAGAAGGTGCTGGTGGAGCTGGGGGAGGTGGAGCAGAAGATGGAGAGTCAGTCTATGTCTTCGTCCTCATCCTCAGAGGGACTGGGGTCTGCGGTCCCGGCTGGAGCAGGGAGGACCAGACTGGGCAGCAGCGGGAGGACTACACTGCAGGCCATTGGAAGTGCTGCTGCTGCTGGTAATGAGAACTTTATCTGTCTTATACTGTATGTTTTTTTGTCTTTTCATTTCTTCTTTATGTATTATGTTTATATTGTGTTTCAATGTATTTCATTCATGCTTATATTGTATTTCTGTGCATTTTTATTTTCCTCTTTGGTCTGAATAAAAAAAAAAAAATCTTCCAAACATAATTTATGATATTAATAATAATCATTTTCATTTGTATAGCACTTTTGTAAACAAAAGTTACAAACTGATTCACAGTGCAACAGAAATACATACCCCCTTATAAAACAAGAAGAAAACAGCAACAACAACAAAGCAATAAAACACATTCAAATATTACCAAAATGCAACAAAATAATACTTAATGCATGTGCCATTCAACACATTGTTGCCATTGCATTTGATAATATTTATTTTTCATTAGGCTTAGTTAACGCAGTAAATCACTTAACTGTTAGCCCTGTTTTCCATTTACATTGATACCCATAATTAACTCTAATCCTCTCCATATTTCTCTTCTTCTAGGTGTTGCTTTCTACTCTATCTCTGACATAGCAGACCGCCTCTTGAGCACAGCGGCTCACCCTTTGCCCTGTTTGGAGGAGGATTACTGGATCCGTCAGTGCCCCTCTGATAACTATGGGCTCCTGTACACTTTGCTAGAGGAGCTGAGCCCGGGCGCCATGGCAGCGTTTGACCTGGCCTGCTGCCACTGCCAGCTCTGGAGGACGTCCAGACAGCTTCTGGACACAGCCGAGAGGAGGCTCAGCACCAGTCATGAGGACAGAGGTATGGGAGTGGTAACTGTAAGTGATAAGTTCCTATAATGTTCTACAACAGCAGTCTCCAACCTTTTTTCCTCGTGAGCTACTAATTTTAGGGGTTACACCATATTGAGCCAAGGTAACAACTATAGCTATAGATCTGGCGTTTTCAGGTGCCTATAAACATAAACCATAAATGAATATACTAGATATATATATTTAGGCCTGAGCTCCAGAAGCTGCCTATTAGTATCGCAAAGCTATGCTCCTAGTGGCCGGGAAGTGAAATGACACGATGTGACATGCTCATAGTAACCAGGGACACTCGTCATGACATAGGGCCTATTGCTTTTGGCCAACTGTTAAAACTCACACTTCTCTAACTTTTGGCTATTTCCATTTTCCAAAAATAAATAAAATGACATAGAAGTAGATCATAACAAGACAAGTGGGGAGGGGACTGGAAAGGCATAAGCTTTGCTTCATCCATCCCCTTTTCAAACCATGTATGTTTGTATCTGCTTCTGTGCTGTTATGTTGTTATATGAATTGTATGTGCAGGTTTGAAATAAATAAATGATTAACTGACAAGAAAAAATACTATTATGCAAACACCATCTGCTCCACCAGGGGTCAGCAATATTGGTTTAAAATTTGCTAAACATGAGTCAGCATTTTTTGTAAACTTCATACACACACTCCTCCTAGGAAGTTCATCCGAATGGACTCAAATTTAGTACACATTATCTCAAGGGCCGGGACATCAAACGTTATCCAAATTTTTGACACACGTGTTACGGTCTCTGAGCAGTGAAACGATAAAAAATGCACACAATTTTGGAGATTTTGGATATTTGCACATTGCTCAGATTTTCCATGAAATTTGAAATAGCAATGACATAAACTCTCCATGTTATTCCAAAGGTAAAATCGCCAAATTGCACAAGCTTTGGCCAATTTCACTCAAATTTTAATCGTGGGTGCACACCCTGACCCACATTTGTGAAATGGTTAAAATGATTAAAAACAACAACCAATGGGAAGTACCTACACAACCTTTGGCGTAGCCAAACTGAATTTGGAAGCCAGATGCATCATGGCAATAGGAACAAAAATGTATATTGTGACCATGTCCCTTTATAAACCGGAAGTCCTCCATGTTGGAATAAAAAAAAAAAAAAAAAAAAGAACACATGCAAAAATTTTGAAAAATGGCAGGGTAAGGTTAGGAGTTAGGGTAAGGGCTAGGGTTAGGATAGGGATTGGGGCTAGGATTAGGGTTACGACTATAGGGATAGGTTTAAGATTATGTTTAGGGTTAGGCCTAGCATTGGGGTTGGAACTAGGGATTAGAGTCGTTGTAGGTGTTTACAGTTACTGGGGTTAGTGTGGGGCACAATGTGTGTGGGGCGCGGCGATTGTGGGGCATGGGGATTGCGGGGCATGGGGATTGCGGGGCATGGCGCTTGCAGGGAGTGGTGTTTGTGGGGAGCGCAACTTTATAGCTCCTAAATCCTTTGGGGAGTTACTTGCTGGATTTACCTTCCTCTATAAGTGTATCAGTGGGAGTGTTTTTTTCTATACATTACATTCTGTATGTTAGGTAATAATTCACAATTCTTAATTGTCTAATTTTTGCTACATCAGCTTTATATCTGCCTACTACATTGTCCTGAATCTTAAACATTTTTTGTAATATAAATTATATAGATTTTTAGTCCCCAAAAAAATTACCTAATAAAGTTGTTCCAAGGAATTTATATTTTTATAGTTTCGTAACATATTCATTTTGTTTCTCCAGGTTTAAGAGTGGACCCCAAACTACCCCATTCAGAGGGAATCTGTGGATTTCCTATGGTTTTACAACAAATAAACAAGCTCTTGAATCATTCTTCATCTAATAAAAGCTCCACCAAAACAGGTACAATATGATGAAACAATGATTGATAAAATAACATATGTCACTTTACTTCTGTATTTAGTGTCACTTTTATTCCCCTGTTCACAGACTCTCCTGTAGATGAGGTGTTTTCTAGTCCGTTCGGTTGCTGTGTACAGGAGGTGCTGTTGTGTTGTTACCCGACGCTTAGTGAAGAGTCCATTTCATCTCGTCTCACTTTGGCTCAGAGGCTGGAGTCCACTCTGCAAATACTCAGCACAGCCACTAAGAGCACAGGTCAGACTGATTTAAAAAAAAAAAAAAAAAAAAAAAAAAAAAAGAGCTTATTTCTCGTATTACTCATAAAAGAAATCTCAAAAGTAAATCTCATGAAAACACTATATTCAGCTATAATGAATACATGCATAACCAGGAGCAGGTGAGTTTTGAACCCTGGCCTCCTACGTCCTCACCCGGTGCCTAAAACCATGAGTTAACTTTCCACCGGTTTGCCAGCACTGAAGTTTGGTATTTACAGGACTATACAGGGAAAACCCTTTCTGAGCAGTATATTTTTTTTTTCATCAGCCACATCAATTGTGGGAAAAAAAACAACAAAAAAAACATTTGAAAACACAGAAAATAGAGCCCAAATGACCTGCCTATTTTTTTTCCTCTTGCCTCTCAGGCCTTCTGTAGTGTATGTATATTTACATGTTAAATTTCTGTAGTTTCTCATTTTCCCCCCTGAAATATTATTGTATTATTGTGTACCTTGTTCACTTTGACTACAAATCTGTTTCATCATCTTATACAGCAATGGTTCATGGTATATTTCCTGATTTTTGCTGAGTTACATACAAAGGAATACTGCCAAATATTGGGATTTTATGTGCATGTGAACTAAAACATGTCTTATCTCTCTATTAACTCTCAAACTGTTCTGTTTCCCTTGATGACAAATTATTTATTAATCTGCAAAGGCTACTAGTACTACTACTAGTATGGATACTACTAACCACCACATCTCTCCTTCTTTCTCAGAGGGCACAGTAGGCAGCCCTCTCCTAGATCTCTTGGTGGAGCAGTCCCGTCTGAAGCAGGCCGAGCTGGACTCTCACCCGGTGCGCTCCAACATGAAGCAGCTGCTCCGCTCTCTGGACCAGCTCTGCCCCTTTGAGCCTGACGGAGCTCTCTCCAGACCCGACTATGTCCGCAGTTTCCTCGACTATGTCAACATCCTGGCCTCTGTTCTAGTGCGCAGCCTTGGGACAGATGGTAGGTGTCCTGTCACCTCACTAATAACTCATTGTCAAAGTAGTCTATTAGGTAAATGTTAATATGTTTTTACCTGTACAGTTTATTGTAGAAAATAACAAAACTAAAGATGTGAGTACAACTAAACCATTTGGTCTTTTGTTGTAATACATATTGTATTAGACTTTTTATGTTTAAAGAAGTATTTGAGACGTGTACAGTTTTGCATTATTAATTAATAGTGAAAAATGAACTTGGAAAAACTGAAATAATTGTATTGTAACACCTAACTCTACATTTTGGATTTACTTGTTTCAGATAACATTGGAGATGTCAAACTTGGAAATCCTCTCTTGGTGCTGCTTCAAGCTCCGTCTCAACTTCTGTCCCACCTGCTTTTTGACCGACAAGTGTCCCCTGACAGGTATCCACAAAACCTGTGCACCAAAATTTTGCAACATTTTTATTTAAGTTGTATTTTTTTTATAGCATAAGTATTTCTTTTGGTTGAGCCATTTAGATAAGATCACTTTATTGTCAAATCACATGGTATTTATTAGAGCTACACAAATGAATACATCAAAAAATTATACTGCTGTTGAAATTGAAATGTACTTTATATTTTCAATCCAAAAATGAACACAATGGTTAATTTAGCACACACCATGAAATGTTTGAAATTGACAAGCAGCCACATCACCAGGTCAAATTACAGGTCAGATCTATAGAGAAGTGGGCCTGCTTGCAATAATAATACATGCTTTTGTTGTAGTTTTGAGAAGTAAAAATTCTTAAAATTCAATACATGCAAGATATATTTGTTTCAATGCCATTCTGTGAAACATTCCAGGAAAATCAATAACATCACCATGCAGACATGCAGACAGCATGGCAGACCCACCAGAAGAAATACACAGTGCAACTTAAAAAATGCTATGCCTCCATAAAGATTCAAAGATAATAATTTAACCATATATATGTTTCAGAGTACTGTCTTTGCTGCAGCAGGAGCATTTGCATCTAAGCGTTCAGGAGGTGATTGTTCAGAGATGCTGTGAGACTTTACCTGTGTGGACCTCCTTTCCAGGATCTGACTCTGAACTAATTCAAGACCTTAACAGAAACAGTATTTTTGGAGATGCCACTTTATCACTTCTGCTCCAAGAACACATGCAGGAACATATGTCTACTTTGGGAATAACGAGGGACAGTCAATCTGAAGTCGGGTCTGAGTCAGAAAACTCAGTGGAAGATCAGTCGACCACTCAAAGCAGCATCTCAAACTCCACACTGTCCCTCACATCTTCACAACCTCCTCCAACATCTTTCCTTATTACCCCAGCTGCATTAACATTTCTAAAATCACGCTCCCCTTTATTAGCTACGTTAGCTTGTCTCAGTGCTAGCAAAGGAGAAGCAACCAAGACTCAAAAATCTTTCTTCTGGAGTGACCGCAAACAGGCAGTCCTAGATGGAGAGCAAATCAGTAAAGAAGTTGATGGCCTTCTAAAAGAGTTTCCTATACTGCGGTCGTATATCTATTCAATGGTGGAACCGATCTTGGACTTCCCATTAGGAGAGGAGGACGAAGTTGGCCTAGGCACTGTCCTGTGTGGGAAAGCGTTAGTTAGTTTGTTGTTTTCAGGACCACATGAAGAGATGACACAAAATGTGGCTGCTGAAGCATTTAAACAAGCCCTAATCACCAAAGATCTGAAAAGAGCTCTAAACCTGCTGGAACTATATGGATACGGCTGCAGCCAGGAGGGGGCGCTAAGAGACAGACTACTTGCCTGCGCTGCGCTTGAAGGTAGGAAGGAACCTAATGTGAACTTATTTTGGGACAAGGAGTTCTAAAGGGTTTAGCTATTGCACATAGCATATTATATAATTAGGAAAGGGCTATTCTGTTCATTTATAAGCACACCTCATCTGTCAGTGTATGGGTATACATATTTTTTTTACTCTTTATTTATACTTGTATAACAATTATCCTGTAAACTTAACATATTTATTAGTAATACCTTTAATTATCTATAAAAGATTAATTCAAAAATACAAATACTGTAGTAATTATTGAAGCAAGTATCACGTTTTAATTTATAGCATTTTTAACTATAATTTTTGGTATTAGTCCCTGCAAACATAACGTTACATGTATTTTTGCAGAAAAAAAAAACATTTTATTTTATTATTTTTATTTTTTTAATGAATTTTTATATTTTACAGAACTAAAACCAAACCCCCCCCCCCCCCGCACACACACACACAGACACAAAATAAAAATAGATAAATAAAAGGGGAAAAAAACAAACTAAACATTCTAACTTAGGGAGAGTATAAATGAGTCATTTGAAATTAAATTATGATTAAATACCACTATAGAATAACTATTCATGTAAACACGTGTTCAACTTTTATTGCCTGGAAGTCCCACATTAAGATCCATGCTATTATATAATTTTTTTTGTTCATTCTTCAGAAGGGTACAGTGGTATCGGTCACCTCTTCCGTGTTCAGGACCCTCACCTTCGAGCCCATGTGACCTTAAAGTCCCTGGAGCGATGGCCCCTGACGTCCTGCCTGGAGCTGCTGGAGTTCTGCCTCAACGACCCCCTCACAGACCCACCCCTGAGAGCCCAACTTGAGCTCAAGAAGAAGGAGCTGGATATCTATCACTGGGTAATGTGATGATCATGTAACAAATACCAATTCTTGTTAACTTTTCCTTGAGTATATTTTGCAGATGCTGTAAATAGGAATAGGTTAGTTAAAGGAGCATTGTGTGACTTTTCTGGTGAAATTTCTGTCAAATGCTTTTCTCCATAGAGATGTTATTGCTTTGTCTGAAATGTTTTACAGTATGGCATTAAACATTTCTATCATCATGGAGACTAAACCAGACCAAGTTACAGGTCAGATCTATGGAGAGGCGACCCCACTGACAGTCAGAATGGCTGTCTTTCTAGGTATTTTTGAGCTTTAAAACCAACTGTAATTAAATAAATGTAAGGTAGAGATGTTTAATGTCATACTGTGGAACATTCCAGGCAGAACAATGTCATATCCATAGAAACAAGCAGGTGACGGACCCCCAACCAAAAAATTACACAGTGCACCATATCAAACTATATGCAACACCCGAGTTGCCAAATCTTAATTTAAAGTTATTTATTTAAGTTGTCAGCTTCACTTTATTTTGCATGTACTTCAGAGATACATTAGAGATGTCAAGAATATTCTGTGAAATTTTTGAAGGAAAAAAATATCTTCAAATCATTCTTCAAAAAAAATTGTACTGTGCTTTTTTCATTCATATAGTTTATTACCAGCTTAAAGTGTAGGTTTTATAAAAAATTGAGAAATTGTAAACAGTAACAGTAGTTATGTACTGTTAATAGTAGACATTGTGATTTGCACCTTATTTTTTCAGCATTTATATATTACACATTCATAGCAGGTAATGTAAATATGGATGAGTTTCCTGTTCATTATTCATATTATTCTGTTGCTTATGAAACCTATTTATATAACTAATTGAACTTCTTTTGCCAGATGTTGAATTTACAGCCACCTCTGCCCTGGGCAACTTGGCAAGAGCTACGTGTCGAATCAAGAACAAACTCTGAGCTCTTAATATCTACGATGCTGGAGGCGAAGGTAGTTTGCATAGAAAACTTATGATACAGTGTAGTGTGTGTTATAAAATTATACTGTTATTATTATATAATTATTTAAATTCTTTTGCAGGAGTTTGCCCTATGTGCCCAGTGGGTGGAGCTGTATCCTGTGTCTGACCAGTTGAGGCTAAAACTCACCACTGAACATTTACTGCATCTGTTGGAGAAGGGACAGAGTGACGAAGCTTTTCAGGTCTTTATAACAAAAAATATATAATGATAATGATGCATTTTAAAATATAAAATAATGACATGGGACATTTTCAACATTTTGGACACACTGATTAACTTTCTGGATATCCCCGAACATTACGATTGGCCTTTTGGTGTTTATTTATAACTATTCATTAATCTCTCACTTTCTTTTTTTTATCCTTTTGCAAAAGTTAGCTAGAAATGTTGCATAACTTAGCTTAAAAATTTACAGTTTGTGTTAATGAGTGGCTTATGGGTCACAGCATTTGTCCACCAACCTGAAGGTCAAACAGAGAAGTGCTATATAAATCCAAAGCATTACTTGGTAGTAAATCACGGAAAAACAACGTACAAAAATTTTGATTAGAGACCATAAGCAGCTTTGAAAATGTGTGTGTGTTTTTTTTTTTATTTGAACAGTAAAACAGACCATACAATAATATATTATCTGTCTTTTACATCTGTATATTTGTATTAATTTTATCTAGTACAATGATGTAATCTTTTGTTTCTCTCACTGGTAGCTGCTGGAGGGCCTCTCAGATTACTCAGTGGGGCTGGAAGTGTGTGAACAGGCCCTGGATAAACGGCCCGGTTTGTCGGCCTGTCACTTTTTGGCCGATTACCTCACGCTGCATTTTGAGAGACAGGTGTCACCTGCCCGAAGGCGGCACATACACGCTCTTCACCTGGGGTCAAAGGTTAGATCACTGTCAACATGCATGCATACATTTCAATATTGACACTAGTTTTCAGGTTACTGAGGTTGTTGTAATATTGTTTCCATAAATATCCATTTTCAGAATGGGGGTAAAAAGGATAGAAAGACTTTTATTATGTCCATGGGATAATTACCTGCTTCACTGCTCCTGAAAGGTTACTCCAGTGACATTAAACGATGGGTCATATGCAGAGCTCAAATTTCCCTACTGGGTCAATAAAGCGTACATCAACACTGCATCATGCAAATACACTATTATTTTTTGATTTTTAGTATTTCTGACCTCTTATTCTGAATGTATTTTTCACCATCGCAAAATGGTTATGAAGGCTACATTTTAGATACGTGGGAAAGATTACATCAGTGATCCAGCACAGTCTTTTATTTACTGTCCAAACAAACATTTATACTGAATGCTATCATATTCTCCGTATTTCCACTAAATACCCTTGACGTCATAGACATGTTAAATCTTGTATTGCATTCACCCCTTAATTCTGAGTAAGGTTTAGCCTCCTATTACAGAAGAAACAAGTCCTTCATCATTGTCTGCAGAACAAATGCCTGTGCTTATACAGTAACTTTTCATTGTGTAACTCATTGACTTTTTTCCAAGAACTGTTGAAAATTTTAAATTCTTAGAGCCTCTAGAGTTTTGATGAGGTCTTTTACACAAGGCTATTGGTTAAGTGTGCATTTTAATTTAATAGTTATATTCTGAATTACAAAAAATGGAATGAAAACACCAAACTTTAATATTTCCAACTTGTTCTGTTCTCAATAATGTAGTAATTGAAAAGTTTGGACCTTATGTTGGTTTGGCAAAATATCATTGAAAGTCACATAAATATTATTCTAATGTTAAAGATCCTATATTACACAAATTTGACTCTTGTGAGATTCAAACCATGTTATAATGTTGTACCTCCTCAGAAACATAACTGGAGTTGTGTTTTGTTTCATTCACACATCTTGGAGTAATCCTGCATTATAAATCTGTCTACATCTCCAAAACTCACCTTGTGCTCTATTCCATCTCCAGCTATTATGAAGCTGTAGTTTTCAATTTAACAGCTCCTTTTACCTTTAGTTCAGGGCTGAAATCATCCAAATTATTCTAGTGAATGTGTGTGGAATTTCAAAACACAGCTGAGCACTTTGTGTATTACGACATGACATCCCAAGGTAGAACAGAGTGTTTTTAGTTTGAGAGAAGAACTAAGTCTAAGTATGCAGGTTTTGTGTGTTAAACACGTGTGAATGAAACAAAACGCAACTCCAGGTATGTTTGTAATAAGGAAACAACATTATCACATAGATCAGAAAATAGCCTAATATGGGTCCTTTTTAAATAATTTATCAATGTAGAATATCTGTCTGCTGCATAAATCAAAGTCTTAGCTGACTGAACTTCCAATTACCACACAAAACTGGCTATATCTCTTAGGTGTAGGTCAATGTTTGTATATGCAGTGTTACTGATAAATAAACAAATAAAGCAAACTATAATGTATATTTGTGTGTTTTACGTTCCTCTAGGTGTTATTGACCCTGCCTCCTACTGCAAGACAGGACTACTTCCCACTTCTGTCTGAGCCGCTGCTGATGCTTGAGCAGCTGTTGATGAACCTGAAGGTGGACTGGGCGGGGCTAGCTGTGGCTACGCTCAAGGGTCTTCTGGTGGGACAGGAGGCGGGATTCAGCGCGGAACACATAGATGAGATTTTAGCAGAATACGCCTCCAAAGCTCTGGACTTCTCCTGTGCACCCAGCCAGAGATCACGGTCCGGTATGTGATAAAATTAACATATTTCAACACATTGTAACATGTATTTTACTTTGCATCAAGCTCTATCATTGATTACAAAACTATCACAATAACAAAGTAAAAGGTTTTTGCACTGACTGTGGTGAGGTAAAATAGATATACAGTAGCAGAATATGCACTATTACATGATATTGTTCCAGTAAATGAAGACAGTCAACCATATTGTCTAGCTTAATGGCCCATACACGCATTTTTCTGATCTATGTTATAATGTTGTTTCCTCAGCAAAAACATGTTTTTTTTTCACTCACACATGGTTCACACACAAACCCTGCATATTTAGGCTGAGTTCTTTTCAGAACAGAAAAAACAGAAAACACTATGTTCCACCGTGTGTTGTCATGTGGTAATGCAGGAAGTGCTTCACTTGGTTTTTAAACTCCACACAATTTTACTGGAATAACTTGAGTAATTTCAGCTCTGGAATTTTCAATCTTCACTGAACAAAACGTAAAATGTAGCTGTTAACCTGAAAATGACTAATGACTAGTAATAAAAGGTTAATCAAATATATGTGAATTGAACAAAACATAGCTCCGGGTATGTTTTTGTGGAAATAACAATGTTCTAACATGGCTTAAAGCTTTCAAGAATCCATTCTATTATATAGGATCTTTAAATATATTACACTTTCTATCATTAGGCTATTCAACTATAAAAGGATTGTGGATGAAACTGCCTTGTACAATCACACCAAAGTCTTAATGCCTCTAATGTGACACCATTATAATACTAATAAACATTATGTGGAATATTTCATCCAACTTTTGTATGCTGTTTTTACTCCTAATTTTGCAATATCTTGTTTGAGGTCAGATATTGAACAACATCGTAATGACCGTGGGTATTTTCTTATAGACTCTGTGATAAGCCTCCAGGAGGGTCTGCTGCAGTGTCCAGCTCAAGATACCAGCTCCTCCTCATCCAGCCGAGTAGAATCCCCAACTGGATCTACAAGTAAGAACATTTTCACATGTTTACTCATGAGACAATCTATTAGCAGTGTTTCCAATTAATAGAGGAGACTACGATGGCCCCCCAATAGTCTTACCCGCCCTGCCCATAGTATAAAAACTATCTGAGCAAAAAATTTGAACAACATTTTTTTTTTTTGTTCAGTAGAGCCAATAAGTGACAGTTATACACCAAAATATTATATTAAATAAAATGATTAAAATATGGATCTCTTGTGCCATCATAGTCTTTGTGTAAACCTGTGAGAAACACCATATTAGTTATTATAACCTGTATCCTTTTAAATAAATATGTACACAGACAGCACGCCGACTCACACACCCTACTCAAACAGCACAGAGAAGGACAGAGACAGGGCGTCAGCAGGTAAAAAGCGCCGTCTGTCAGTGAAGTTTCAGCCTCCGGAGCAGCCTCCAGCTCAGAAAGACTGGGTCCCAGACACTCAGCACAGTGTCTGTATGGTCTGTCAGAGAGAGAGGTTTACTATGGTGAGTCCCAAATATATTCTACTGAAGTTATTCCAACCCTGATTTAGTTTTAGAGGGCCCATATTACACTATTGTCTGATCCATGTTATAATGTGTGGTGTCCTCATCAAAAACATACCTGGAGTTGTGTTTTGTTTCATTCACACATGTTTAAGACATAAACCCTGCATATTTAGGGCTGAGTTCCACCTTGTGACATCATGTGGTTTTTAACTTTATACACCATCACTGGAATCATTTCGATACTACTACATGACATCACAAAGTGGAACGGAGCATTTTAAGAATGAAAAGCATTTGAAGATGACTAATAATCCAGGATTACTCAAACATATATGAACGAAACAAAACACAACTACAGGTGTGTTTTTGAGGTGTCCATAACATGACTTAAACCTCACAAATATGTTTAGTGCTTTTGGTATATTGGCTGTTATTGACATAGTATCACTATAAATATGTATTTTTGCTCTTCTTTAGTTTAACCGGAGGCACCACTGTCGGCGATGTGGGCGTCTGGTTTGTCAGGCCTGTTCTGAGAAGAAAATGAACGTGGAAGGATGTCCCGGAGAGGAAGTCCGAGTCTGTGATCAGTGTTATGCCTTCTTTCATCCAGAGTAAGACACTGCACCCTAGACATATTGTATTGGATTCTATGACATTTAGATATTTATTAGGGTAAACACTAAATAATCTAAAATAATTCATATATAAATGTGTCAATTGACTTACATCTTGAGATACATAATTGTGTTTTTGTTTGCAGATCTGACGATGAGGAAGAACCAGATGAAGGTATGTGTCTATGGCCATATACGGCTCAATTCATAAATTTGATTCTTGCACACCCAGTCACACCTATTCCCAGCATAACTGGCCTATATGTAAATATGGCCACCTAAATGCTCACATTGTCATTTTATACACAATAATTAAGGTCTGGAATTGGGCCTGGGTAGTAAAATGTATTTTAGTGAGCTTAAAGGTGCACTACATAACATTTTTAGTGGAGGATGTTCCTCCTGCTTGTCTCCAAGAAAATGTTATTGCTTTGTCTAGAAGGTTCCAGTAAGTAAAATTAAGCCTATCATGAGGAAGATGAGCACTACAGTGCAACACTACATTACAATTCAGATATGTGGAGAGTCGCTCCTATTCACAAAAGGAATTACTGTACTTTTGAGCAACAAAAACACCAGTGATGAATGAATGAATGATGGATATGTTTAATGCCGTACCATGGACATTCCAGGCAAAGCAATAACATCTACATGGAGAGAAGTAGATAGCGGACCCTCCACCACATAAGCTGCACAGGGCACCTTTAAGGAGACTTATTGTCAGTAATTTCATTAATGAGGCAACAATATTTTGTTGTTCATTTATGTTTTTGTAGACCCCAGCAGTCCCAGAGCCCCAGAGGAAGATGTGGAAGGGACACTGCATCTTCCTGAAGTCACCCATCGACAAATCCAGCTATGCACAAACCCTGCAGAAAACCAACTGCTTAGAAGTGAATTTTACTTTGAACAGGTCTGCTGTAAAGTGTTAACTCATAATATCTTATGCATAGTAAACACTCCTAGGCTCACAGTACCAACCACACATTAACACAGTGTACTTGTGTACTTGTCTTATTTTGTTGAAAAGTTCCAGTTAATCATGTTATAGTACTTGTTCTCTCATTACTAATCTTAACTAATATTTGCATAAATTCTAAAATTATATAATGATCTTCTGATGATCCCTGGCCCAAAACTCTGGAACAAACTGTCCCCTGATATGCACGCCATCACAGACGTTGGCCTGTTTACATCCAGGCTCAAAATGTACCTATTCAGAGTGGCTAATGCAGTTACACTTTGCACAGTTTGTTTTATTTCATTGTTTAATGTTTTGAATGTTTTTTATATTGTGTTGGTTTTATTGGAAAGCACTTTGGTCACCTTGAGTGTTGTAAAGGGCTGTAGAAATATGGATTGATTGACTGATTATTAACTTCTTAAATTGAAAACGACATAAAAACATATAGGGCCGCATCTTGCCCCCAGACTTAGTGCAAAGCGCAAGTGGGCGTGTCCAGGTGAGGCTGTACTTCACTGCTGGAGGCTGGAGTGGGACGGTACAAGTACATATATGGTGATGACATCTGAACCAATCTGTGACTGCTGTGGCATTTAAAAACACTGCCCGTGTGGGTAATGTGTGCAGTCTTTGCCTCATTATCAGGCAGCAAAGTGGAGTGTGGGGAAAAGTTATATATGTTATAACTGTTCCGGAGCCCCACGATGCAAGTACACACCAGCAGACACCAGGAATATAGAATTTTGTATAGGCCATGCCCACTGCATTTGGTCCCACACAGGTGGATGTCTCACGGATTATGGAATACGTTTATTGTTTATTGTTTCTGATGTTACGCACAGATACGATACGTGCGTCTGCTCTGCTGTCACAGCCCTGAGCTGTCAGTGAATATGGATATGGATATGCATTAGGACCACAGACAGTGTAAGAAAACACACTTTAGGACAGTGCTGTAAACGGCCTAATTTGAATGGGTTTTGTACAGATCCAGACCAAACCAAACTATAGAGCAGAACTGAGCCGATACAGAGAGCGGGCGAGGGGCTGTGCTCTGCTGCACAGGGGCATCTGGACAACTCCCGCACAGCACATGAACATGTTATGAATGTTGAGCATTTATCATCCTAATATATTTCCAAATAAAAGAAGCCTTGAGCATGTTACATGTTGTTTTTCAGTGAACTCGTTTGGTATTTATTTTTACGGTTCTGGCAATTCACTGAACGCGCCTCACCATGCCCTCAGTCTGCTCTGCTCCACCTGATATTCAGTCACGGCACACCTCCTGTTTAGAACTCCACGCCCCACACTTGCGCCAGCGCTGAGACTGGGGGGCAAGCTACGGCCCATAGCCTTTAGCCCAGTATATACTCAATAAAACTAATGTACCTTCTATTCCTCCTCGTAGGCCCCGTGTGCACCCCTCTGCGTGGCCATTTTGTCTCTACACAGTGACCAAAAGTTCTGTGGTCACCAGCTCATTGCCCACTGCCGCTCTCTGTCCCATAAACTGACCAACCCAGAGGTGGATGCGTGTCTCCTCACTGACATTATGAAGCAGCTCCTGTTCAGTGCAAAACTCATGTTCGTCAAGGTTGGACGCAGCCAGGACCTTGTGCTGTGTGACAGGTCTGTACTAGAGACTTGTTTATGGGTGCCATTCTAAATACTTTTCACCATTCAAAAGACGTAAGTAAGTTTTGATTTGATAACTGACTGGTGGGTTCCAACACAAATCTAAAGAAAAGTTAGGTAGTTTCAGCATAAACAAATGATAAACAACTGGTTTGGGTTAAAGAAATTTAAGAAAGTTTGAAGAAAGTTACTTGTATCTTGAACCAGGCATTTTAAAGTCCTGGTTCCAAACTAATTTAGAGGTACCCAAACGTATTTGTTTTGTCTTTAGGCAAAACACCCCGCCCACCTTTCCTGTGTGTTTACTTGTGAAAAAGGCTAAATTGTTATGTCTTATATGTTTTATTTTCTGATGCATGAACTGTAATAACCTTAACGTGTTTATGCACGGCTACAATGTTTGCTAGTCAAAGATCTGCTCTGTGCTGGTTAATGACATCCTATACTGTTTCTGTTCTTTTGTGTGTCCAGTTACATAAGCAAGGTCGACGTGCTGAAGATTCTGGTGATGGCCAATTATAAATATATTCCTTCACTGGATGACATTTTGGAGACTTCAGCGGTCACACGACTTCGTAACCAGCTGTTGGAGGCTGAGTACTACCAACTTGCAGTAGAGGTATGGCATTCAATGCTGTACCTTGTTTTAAAATTGTCTGACCTGGAGTAGCCTCTGTTTAGGCTATTGCACAACCTTACTCAAACTAACACTGGTTGGCCACCTAAAATAGGACCGAATGTTAACTTTGCGGGACCTCCGCCACACTGTTACTGTTTTGGGATCCACACTGAGTCGTTCTCAGGTTGTATCTCCCTTGAAGCTTCCAGGTTATTTAAGGACTCAGTCTGTGTGTGTGTGTGTGTGCATGTGTGTGCGCGTGTGCGTGTGTGAGTTTGTGTGTTTGTGTGGTTGTGTCAATTTGACTTAAAGGGAATGCGGAAGCTAAATAAATGTAAAAGAATACATTTCATTTTTGTGTATGCATTTTCGTATTGAATTGTGAGACGTTTGCAGACCAAATTATTAGGTCAAATTATTTGTATCTTGCAGTAATAAATAAAACTTCTACTCTTTTGTATTGGATTGTAGTTAAAATAAAACGGAATGTTGCACAGTATAGCTTTACACTTGTCTATATCCACGGAGGAAAACATGAGATGCCATTTGGCAAAGTTACAAGATCTGTGGAGAGGCACCCCAGCTCATGTTTCTTTGGGATTTTTTATTTTTATTTTTTACTTCAACACCCTTATGTGAATAAATGCGAGATGGATACGTTTAATGGCATACTGCAGAACTTTCCATCCCAAGCAATAGCATTGGACCGCACTGACCTGAAAACTTGTAATATAGTATCAAAGTTTGTATCAGGCTTGAGATTTGATTTGAAACAGCAGTTAGTTTGGAGTTTGAGTTTTGAGTGAAACAAGAGTTAATAGCTTGATATATAAAAAAATAATAATAATAATAAAATTGCAATATTTATTTTTTATTTGTCTTTTAGGTTTCAACCAAAAGTGGGCTGGACCCCAGTGGAGTGTGGCAGGCTTGGGGCATGGCCTGTCTGAAAGGGGGAAACCTCTCTGGAGCCAGGGAGAAGTTTGCCCGCTGCCTGAAGCCCCCTGTGGATCGAAATCAGCTCAACCAGGGCCCACTTCTGCTACAGGAGATCATACAGCATCTAGAGACCAGTGTTCGGCCTGCTACAACTACTGTAAGACCACCAAAATAAGCTATTTAACGTAAAGGCTGGTAATTAAGCACTATCTGTAGCTTGCATAGAGGGTCCGCCACCTGCTTAATTCCATGAGTCCTAACCCTATGATTGTGTATATATACTTCTTGCATTATATACAAATCTTGTCATCTTTATTACAATACAGATGTTGTTATTGCCCCAAAATGCCTTGAAAAACATGCATTCTTACTGTGGGCCCCCCACCTGCAAAACTGTTGAATCAGCAACTTGCCATGCTGTGGAACATTTTAGTAATGCATTAACATCTCCAATAAGACTTGGAGGTAGTGTACCCTCCACCAGAAAAGTTACATAATGCTCCTTTTTAAATCCATTCTATTTATTATAAAACAGTATATCTTGTTATTTGTCTAACAGGTACAGAACTGTCCTACACACTGTAGTATCTCTAGTAAGGTTGTTAATGTTAGAGTACATCCAAAGTTACCAGACAAATTTAAACACACACATCACTTCCTTTTGTGCAATGTTTTCAAAAGTAGATTGCAAGGTCAACAGGTCAGTCTAGATAGTGTTAAATAATAAAACAGTTGTAGTATGCCACCCAGGCCAGAGTCAGAATGACCTGATGAGTTCTCACAATTACACAGCAAGTATAAATCACCCCTGTGTCTGTGCTGTGAACTGAAGGTGCCTTTGTCCAATGGTCTGAAAATACTTGGAAATAGTGCTAAAGCCTTGTATAGTTCTTAAAAGTGCACTGTGTCACCTTTCCTGTACAAAAAAATGCTGGTATCAAAAACTGAAACCCATAAAATGTCTATAATCTTTAAGTTTTTAATTGATGCCTGTCTAGTTCTAGCACAGATCAAAATAAAAGTTACTTAGTCCAAAAGAAATGATAAATAACTGGTTAGGCTTAAAAATGTATTTTATGAATGTCAGCTTTTTTATAATGCTATATATTGATTAACAGAATAAAAGCTGAAGTGAAACTAAAGGGAAGATGCCTCTAACACCCTAAAGGACATAGTGGTAAAGCCTTATGCAGGTGCACGATGTAATCTTTCTGGTAGTGTTTGCCACCTGTTTATCTCCATGCAGATGTTATTTCTTTGCGTGGAATGTGTATATATTTTGGCTAGCCCCTTGAGATGCATTATCTCTTTTTAAGGGGGTCAAGAATGTTCCACAGTATGCCTTAAACCTTTTGTATCAGATATATATTCAGTTACAGGTGTTTCAGTTCTTAGTGTGAGCAGGCTTCCACAGATCTGGCCTGTAACCTGGTGGCATCATCTAATTGTCTCGAGTTACATAATGCAGAGATTATAAAACATTAATATCTGAACTACAGTTGTGGGTGTATCTAGGGTGTGGATATTACGTAGGAAATTTCCCAAAATGCCTCTGCTCAAGTGCCATGTAATCGAACTCTAAAGAATTACATAACAGAAAAAACTTGTACGGTAGGCTACATTCAAATTCAGGTTATGTAACATGCAAGATTTAGGACCAGTAATTTGTCAGCTTGATTTGTAATGGAACCAGAGCTGTGGTAATGTTAGCACTGTCACCTCGCAACAAGAATGCGGCAGACGTTTGTGTATGGCTGTTTGCCCGTTTGCCCTGTGTCTATGTGGGTTGGGCTGGAGTAGAGACCTCCAGGCACAACACTGCTATTGTAAGTTGTATTGTGCCATGTATGGTGAGAACAAAATGCCCTTCTGGTAATTTTGTTTTTTCATTATTACTTTTATCTTACACTTATTTTTTATTTATTATTTTTTTTTATCAATCCTCTCATAGTGGATTCACTTGTCTTGGTGGATGAGATAAAATGTGCATGCAATTTGTAAGAATAATTATATCTAAAGTAAATAAAATACAAACTTTCCCAGTAAGTCTTTATTTAAGTAAGTCTTTATTTATATAGCGCTTTTCACAGACATATGTCACAAAGAGGCTTTACAAAGCATTTTATAGATTCATTATTCTTTTTCTCCACACCCGGTGGTGGTAAGCTTCTATTGTAGGCACAGCTGCCCTGGGGCATACTGACGGAAGTGCGGCTGCCATGCCAATCGGCGCCATCGATCCCTCCGACCACCACCATCACTCACACACACACCACTTTCATACTAGGCAATGTGGGTGAAGTGTAACAATAACAGTAGAAGCATATTCTGGGCCACATCAGAAGTGAGTCTAAAGTGTGGCTAAACCTGGAGCAAACGTGCACTAGAACAGGATCAAACCTGAGCTACATTAGGCTAAACCTGATCTCAAACCAGGAGCATGCCAGGGAAAGTGTGGAACCACCTGTAAAGCTTATGCATACAAGTTTATTACAAGTTATTACTATTTACTACAATATTAAGGCTTTGCAATATCTTACTTTAAAGGCGCACTATGTAACTTTTTGGTTGGGGGCCCGTCACTTGCTTGCTTCTATGGATATGCCATTGCTTTGCCTGGAACATTCCATAGTATGACGTTAAACAGCTCTACCTTCAATTACAGGTGGTTTTATAGCTCAAAAATACCCAGAAAAAACATTCTGACTGAGAAGGGTCTCTTCTCCACAGATCTGACCTGTAACTTGGCCTGGTTTGGTCTCCATAAGGTAGAAAGGTTCAGTGCCATATGGTGAAACATTCCAGACAAAGCAATGACATCTCCAGAAAAGCTTTTGATGAACCCTCCACCAGAAAAGCTGCACAATGCACCTTTAAATAACCAGTTATCTTATTCTGATATAATGTATTTTCTTGTTTTTCAGTCTTTTGTCGAGGATATTTTGGCATCTTTGTATGAGCTGGAGGAGGCCCTGAGTGAGAGTGGTCCCATTGAGCGATCAGACGGACAAAAGCGAAGCAGTTCATTTCATCAGGAGAGTTTGTTTTACCTGAACACTTATGGTACACACTTGGCTCTCATCAGTTTCTACATGCGCCACGACTGCCTGCTGGAGGCACTCAAATACCTGCTCAACAAGGTCAGGATCCGCATGTACATTAACTCATGTCAGTAGAGTAGAGGATATACATATTTAAAAGGAATTACATTAATTTATGTAGCTGTAGACACTGACTTAAGGTTTAAATGTTATGTAAGCAAATTACTTGTCAACTGATCCAACCTGCAATAGCATCTGTCAATTAAAAGTCATTATTATGAAGTAGAAGCCATTATTTGCATTGCATTGTAGAATAGTGCCATGTAAGGGTTTGTGAGTGTCCAAAAAGGTGATTTAAAGGCATGTTATGTAACATTTCTGTTAACATTACTGCTTATCCCCATGCTATTACACTGGAATGTATGGAAGTGTGGCAGTAAACTTGATAAAATAGCGTTCTTGCATTGTTATTACTAAAAAGAAATACATTTGTATCCATGGACATAGATACGTTTAATGCCATACTGTGCGGAACTTTTCAAGTGATCTCTACCAGGAACATTATGTAGTACGCTTACAGCTTTTAATGCTGTTATGTTTTATCCTCAGAAACACATCTTCTAATTCAATAATTCTGGGGTTCTGTATTTGTTAACTTGTCTCAGGAATGTCCAGATGAGGTGTTTCTGGAGGGAGTGCTACAGCCCAGTTTGGAGCAGGGACGTCTTGGATCTCTGGAGGAAGTTTTGGAAAAGCTGGACCCAGGTTTAGAAACATGCAGCCGATACCTCCTCGCCTCTTGTCAAGTCATGCAACGCAGAGGACACTTTCACACTCTGTACCGACTACAACAGTTTATGATGGTGATAACATTTTGCTCTTATGAAATCGGAAATCTTGGCAATACATTTTAAGTGTTATGCAACCAAGGAGGTAACATTTGCTCATTTGTTTGTTCAGGATCACGTGCGAGCTGCCATGACTTGTATTCGTTTCTTCACACATGGAGCCAGTTCATACCATCAGCTCGGAGAACAACAGGTGCATCATCCACTAAGTTTTACAGTACACAGAGTTCTCAACTGCTAGATTAAATATATTGTGGTAGGTTTGAGAAGCCAAGTACAGGAAAATGTATTATTTATATATATTAGTTATTGGCAGACGATCACCCAAGCATGCCCTGTAGTCTTGTCCTTGGTGTTCTGGCTTTTCCCTACCATCTAAAGCATGCATCTATGAGCAGTGTTTGGTGTATGGTGGCTGCCCATTTGAAAGCAAGTACATTGGGAAAAATGGACTGGTTGAAAATTAAATATTGGCCAAAAGCAATATTTATGTATAATATATATTTTTTACAGGTATCTTTTAAATTGCATTTTAAAATAAAATAAAATGCAGAGTCTGTGGTGGCAGATTTTTTTCATTATAATCTTATGCAATTTGTGGAGGATAATTGCCACTTCCTCCTCACTTCACTGCCTATATTTAATAATTTTGACCAGTGTAGTCACTTTTCTATATTTTTGATTATAGAATAGTCAACCAAGTCTAATTTGTTATTGAGACTATGGGAGAGAAGTGTAGACTTATTTCTTTCTTATATTTTTTTATTTATTTATGAGAAGCACTGACTCATTTCTTCATTATGTCTGTTCTCAGAGCTGGTTGGTCAAAGCCAAAGATCATTTAAGAACATATCTCCAAGAGCAGCAGGGCAGAGGAGTGGGCCGGAGAAGATCTCAAGTCAACTCCTTCAGAAAAACTATGTCCGCTAGTGATGTTTCAAGGTTAGAAATGATCCTCACTTAATTCAAAACTATGAAATATAAAAACAATAGAAGCTAAAGTAATTTTTTTATTTAGGCATATGAATACAATTGAGCTGCAGTTGGAGGTGACCCGGTTCCTTTATCGTTGTGAGATAAAAACACAACAAACCAGTACATTATCAGCCAAATCTGGATCACAGTCTCCACCTACACTGTTCGGAGGGAGTGCAATGAAGATTGATGTTGCATGCAAGGTTTGATGCTTTCTAACAATACAGATTAAAACTTGGTTATGGTTGGTTATGTCCATAGTTGTTTTTTTTAAATGTCAGAATTTTTATGTTTAATTTAGTTTTTTATGTTTAGGTTAAATACAGTGTTTTTATATTTACAGGTGATGCTCGGTGGAAAAAATATAGAAGAGGGGTTTGGCATTGCATACAGAGTTATACAGGTAGGTAACTCAAAACACTATTACCTAATTTTTAAATCTGTATCTAAACCAATCATAGGGAGTGACCAAGCCAGCAAACTAAAGACATTGCAAGGTGGAACAGAGTGCTTTCAGTTTGAAAGAAGAACTCACCCTAAATATGCAGGGAGGCACAATTCCAAATGTTATGACATCGATCAGAAAACCGTGTAATATGGGCCTTTTAAGCTTACTAAACACAGATAAATCATTGCACTATTTTTTTTTGTTACCTGACCTAATTTTCAATTTTAATCCTACATTATTACACAAATTTTATACTGAATAATATTTTCTTCTACATTTTCTTCTACATACATATTATTATTAAGTTCTTTTCATCTGAGCTCATAATCGTAAGTTCAACTAAATACTTGCATAATGATGAAGTGAAATGCTATCAATTAATCAAAACTGGTCCGATATAATTACACAATTTTAGCATTCAATTGAAAATACTAATACTTGCGAAATTCATGAGTGGCTTTTTCCTTCCACATGATCAACAATTTTTAAAGACTCATGTAATTTTTTTCTTATGTATAATTTTCAGGATTTCCAGTTGGAGGCCCAGTCTGTCTACACGCGGGCTGGTCAGCTGCTCATTAGACAAAGGAAATACTCTGCAGTGAAGCAGCTCCTGAAGTGTGTAGGGGAATCAGGAACAGCCACGAAAAGTGACTGTGACTCTCTCCTCCTTAGTTGTGTGTCCAGCGCTGACAAAGCCCCGGCCGATGTGAGTGAGACAGACTTTAGGAGGAAAATGACATGATAAATAATATATTAATATATATGACATATTGCAGTGTATTGCAGTGATATGTGATTTTATGTATTTTATCAACATCAGGCAAAAGAGCTGGAAAGTCTCATTCTGGAGATCAAGAGCACAGAAAACAAGGTTTGTGTGTTACAGTACAGTACAGTACAGTGCATATATGTACATATGTTCAAATATTTTTCTTTTTATTTCACTTGACTGAAAATTGTAACAAAGCCCTTTGTCCTCTTTTGGAAGATTTCCTTCAATTCTACCAAGGCAATGCTTTCCTAGAATATTTAAAATTATGTAATGTATGTAATTTATAACACCTTGCTGTTAAATCCACATTGTAAAAATACTTCATTGATTTTACTATAGTTGGCTATAGATTGCTTTTTGCTGTTCTATTACTAGTTGCCACAGTGGGGCAGCAATAACTGTAGTAGTACAAACTGTCCATATGCAAGACACGTCACCCACCTTGTTTTGCAATAAGCAATTCATTCATTAAAGTTAGTTTTTCTTTATTCTTATGTTCAGATCAGAGCGTACCTGTCGTGCAGTAAGTTGCGACCAGCATACCTATTGGCGGTGAAGCTGGACTCGAGCCGTGCGGGGCCCCTGGTGCAGGACGTCCTTCAGGCGGCAGAGGAAGCCAAGGACTCTGTGATGATGAACATTTGTCAACAGTGGCTTTCAGAGCACCTCAAGTCTCCCACACAACAACGTCAAGGTCGAACCAATGCCAGGTGAAAGGAACAGAGGGGTGTGCCAGAGGTGAATGGTTAAACTGGATAGAAGTTATAACAAGCCCAGAAATACTAACGTTGCCATTTCTTTCTAATACGTAATATGATTGGATTGGAAAAGGACTACAAAATATTTTTAGTTTTCTTTGACTGACAAGGATCTTTTGATTTATTCTAAATTTGGCGTGAAAACCTACTTTAATTGGACTTGAGTGCAATACCATGCAAAAAGAATACTACATACATGCTTTATCTTACCTGTCCTTTACAGCAAATAATTATTCTCCCTGTCTTCAGTTACTTATGTTTTTTTGTTGTTTTTACGTCAGATGCCCTTTCTGCTGCAAACCTCTGTTTATCTGTTTAGTATTTTGAGTTCCCCTCTCTGTTAGACCTTTACTTTACATGATGATTTAAAATGTATAATATCACCAAATTGTTATATTTAATGTCACTGCTTTGTTGTTCTGAATTCCTTTATAATAAATACACTCACTTAGGTGCTAATTGGCAAGCATGGGGTGCTCAAAAAAATTAAATATTTGTAACTAACTACTAGAATTGGTTACTCTAAAACTATGTTAAAAAAAGAGTCTTAAAATGTATGAATCACCATAGTGCTTTACTCAAATTTCAAAGAAGGAAAATGTTACAAAAAAAGTAGAATTGAGTTTATTGTACAAATCTGTGCTACCTCAGCCAAAAGGGAAAAGCAGAAACGTAACAAAAGTTTAAATCTTTTATGTCTTTGTCTCTCTATCTGTGACAGTTTTTATACATTGTATGAAGGTGTGAACCCTTAAATGTGCCCTGACTCAGACTTTAACCTAAACTTATCTTTTGCCTTGTGTCTCTGGTTTCTGAGGTTGTTTACCATTTTAGCTTTTCACATTTTATCACACATTGTTATCAGTATTTTTCCTGTTTGCCAACTGCACTGTAAAAGATATTTAAGGGCATTTTGTTTTTTCACATGCTATGGTGAGCTACTAAAGGGATGTCACACAATTCAACCAATGTTTTAGGTTATTTTAAATGTTTTCTTTGGGAAAACTGAAATTATTTTGAGTGGTAACCCTATATGTCATGTTATGTGAAATTATTTTAAGAAAAGGGAGATGTGCCCAATGTTTTTTGTTCAAATGTATTGCCTAACACCTGAAGTTAACTGAAGTTAAGTAAGATGCCTTTTAAGAATCCTGTGTACAATAAGTTTGGATTAATTATTATATTATTTACATTGAAATTGGTGGGTCACAATTGTTAGGTCTTATTCCAAAGTAGACCATAGAGAATTGAACCTTTTCAGCATATTTGAAGTTTAAATATTGTTTTAATGATTCTCACTTAGTGAATTTGTTTTTAAAATAAGTGTGCCAAAAATGTTGGACAAAAGGAATAATAGTTCTGTGATATGTGGGTTACAATAAAAATGAATATATATAACAATAATTAGGGATGCACCAGCTTTTTTTCTTCTGATACCGATGTTGATACTTTGCTGATACTTTGACTTTAAGTCTCTGCCAACCCATAGCGGTGCAGAAAAAAAATGTCAATATCGGCGCTGATATCTGATACCAGTATAGGTTCTTTGCATCCCTAATAATAATAGCATGCCACAAAACTGGAAACCCACCAGTTGTTAATGTTTAAAATGACTCACCAGTTTGTCCTTATCATGCTTAAAACTATTTTGAAATCCTAAATTAGAAGAAGACATCATGAGACAGAAAAGCCAGTTTGAGCTACAGATCTGATATGTTTGCACTCTGATCTTTGTGACTGTTGTCTCATCACTGCCGCACTTTATACTTTATTAAATTACTGGTGAATAAAAAAAAAAGTCCTGCACAAATGAGCGGAGAATAATGCTTTTCAATTGTAATTAATCCTTTTTTCTGTGTAAATTAAAATGTAATTTAATAATAAATATATCAAATGTCTTTTTTTTCCAATTTGCCTTGACATCAAGTGTGATTTATTTGAGAAAGTTCTTAAAAGTTTAAACACTAATTTAACAAGTGAGGTACATCATGGTTGCAGTTTTTAGTATCTTATACTTTTTGCGGACAACTTCAATTAACCAATCCTTACAGTATAAGTAATTATCAGTGGTAAAGCTGAATTGTTATCGTGAGTTCTTTCTAAATAAGTAATAAATGCATTTTCTAAAAGTTAAGAAACAAATGAAACTTTGTGTTTTCTTCTGATAAGACAAATTGTAATGTGTTCATTGATGGTCTGTGTTCCCCGCTTCCTGATTTCAGCCTCTCATATCCAATCATGATGAAGTCAAGTAAATAAGCTCTTTAGCTTTTTACAATTTGTCAGAAACACAAACAGTCCCTATATAAAAAAAGACAAAATGAATTTTCTAAATATTGAGAAACTACTTCAAACTCCTCAGTTGGTCTTATAGTTCATCTGTTAAACAATAACAGATCTAAAAAAAAATACTTAGTAGTAATAGTCCATTTTATTTACATCAATGTAAACATTCAACTCTGAACATGAATGGAAATGTAGTAAAGGCATGAGATTCTGTATAAAACACTGAATAGAAACTTGGCAACGTTTGTACTGAATATGTGAGCGCGAAAACCATGAGAACAGTGCTCTTGCTTTGGGGATGTGTTCATTTTGGCAATGGGAATAATATATAGCAATGGCACAATCTTATTATTCTAGGTAACTTATTTTAAATACAAACTCTATGTGAGGAATAGCTTAATGTTTTGGTGCTAATATAGCCTAATTTAACAAAACAAAGAGCAGTTGCAGCATTCTGGATTTGGAGAAGCAAACACACTGAAGATGTTCAGCAGAGCCCTATATTTGTAATCTTTGATCCAACATGTGTGCGTGTATGTAAGTGGTACATTATTTAGTTTCCCATTTGATGTAGTCTACTTCTCCAAATCATAAGCAACCGCACTTTACATACAACTTATGTGTAACAACAGAAGTGTCCAGACCTTTGTCATTTGGGACCACAAAACAAGAATTATGACAATAAATTGACCGATTTCACCTCAGAGAGTGTACACATATCTCTACAGTGGAACGTGCTCTTCCAAAGTGCAGTAAATATGCCAGTATTAACTGTCATATTGAAATAAATTTGAGTCTTTATCTCAGGGGTGGCACCAGTCATTTTTGTTTGGGGAGCTATCAGCGTGCTAAATTCTTCAATGGGGTGCTCACTTTACATATAGAGTATTTTGTGGATGTGAGCGCACCACAACTCCTGCCATGTTTGTTTTGCTGTTTTGAACAACTTTAAATGTAGCTATACAGCAGCCCCTGTAGTGATTTATAAACCTAATATGTAACTATATTTTAAGATTTCTATATCTAGACACATTTTCCTATATATTGCACCATCTTCTCTAAAAATATGATATGAACTGATAGGAATTTCAAACCATAGCGCCCATAACTAACTCTTCCCTTCACTTTTATCCAAACTCACATGCCTATCCTCCAACTGAGGACCATCTCAATGAAATATTACGGGGTTTATACAGTTATTGAGACTATAGAGCCCCAGACCTAGAGTTAAGAGCACATTTGTAAATCATGACTGCTTCTAGAAATAGTATTGATACTTTCCAGTGACATCATGCTGGGGGGTGTTCTACATGTATCTCTACTGGGGGAATGTTCAGTAGTTACCATGGTGACACAATGCCCACATTAGCAAACACAGACAAAAAAAGTTGTAAGATCTCAAGAAAATTCAAGAAAATAAACAAAGCCTGTGATTAATACAAGCGTTCATGGCCCTGTTGAGGTGTTTGATTTTGTACAAAAAGGTGAGTGTGACTAACTGAAAAACTGTTGGTTATTCTAGCTTGTGACTGTAATTTTATGTGTGAGAGTCTTGTTTAACAGCACAAATCATTCCTGTTGTACTTCCGACCAGGTCAGTTCTTTCTGGCCAGATTGTGTTAAAATGAAGCTCAAATTAAGTCTAACTTGAGTAAAAGAGCTTCAGACAGAGCACTGCTTTCATTTTGCTTCACACCCCCAGGGAATTTTGATGGCATCAGCAAAGTATCACTGTAACAAAAGCCAAAGAAACAATCACGTTTAAGATTTCACATTGCACCTAGATATAGCTTTCAACATGTGGAAACCATAAACAAAAAGGTCTGAACACTCCATTGCTCTGACAATATTTAAGCAATTATCAATGAAGCTAATATAGTAATTTCCTATTTCTACAATATGGCATCTTCAAGTGTCTTTATCTTAGTAAAATGCTAGCAGGTAATTTAGCTCAAGCTTATAATGCGCGAGGAAAGGACTGAATCAAAATACAGTATGCTGGTTGTTTACCCTGGTTTGACCCTTCACAGTATCCTACAGCAGTACACGAGAGGTTGCTTTTTGCCTACATTGTATTCACATTGTTTCACAAAAATATATAGTTAAAAAGTTATTGTTTGTTACAGAATAATACTGTCAAGTGAGGTTGGCTTTTTGCCTGTTGTTGTGCAAGAAACCCCCAAGTATTACTACAGTACTGTGCAAAAGTCCTAAAAAGCAAAATGTTTAGTAATGCACAATACATGAAATAAAAAAAATTAAAATAAAATGGATGGAACAGTGCCCAGATATGGTCTCCAACTCAAAGATTTTCCAGGTTAGTGGTAAATGCTTTTTCAATGACACACAAAAAAACAACTAAAATCTTACAATAATAATTAATATAAACAAATTATTAGTTCTTTAAACAACTAAGTTTGGCGTACAGGTCCATATCCCAAAATATGACATAAGAATCCCTTAAAACATAATCTTAATCAACACCAACATTAATCAATTTCCCTATGGCACATACTGTACTGACTAAGCTTACATTTGTATTATAAGATAATTATAAGACTATAAGATTAAGGACTCTTATAAGATTATAAGACTCTTGCACGATACAACTACCTGCTCCCTGGAGATGTTATTGTTTTGCATGGAATGGTCCACAGAATGGCATTTAACTTGTCTATGTCCATAAAGAAAAGTGGGCCACCAGACCAAGTTACAGATCAGATGTTTGGAAAGGCGAGCCCACTCACCATAAGGATGCATGCTATTTCAGTGTATTTCTTTTAATAATATCTATAAAAATACCTGCAATTGAAATAATGCAAGATAGATAAGTTTTATACCATACTGTGCAACACTCCAGACAAAGCACACATATCTCCATGGAAACAAGAAAATGGCAGACCCCCTGACCAGAAAAGATACATAGTGTATCTTTAAACTTTTGCACAGTGCTGTATATCTAAGTACTTACAGCAATATCACACAAGATAAGCAAATTCACATTATCGTACAGCTTGTAACCTGGATATAAAGATTGTATTCAAAGTCTGATGAGGACAAATCAGATAAAACAATTGAGAAAGATGATACTTTGAAGGTTAAGCCCTCCTTTTGGATCTAAGATAGGTATACAGTATATTTATTATAAAAATCAGTCCCATTCGATGCCAAGTAGCTCACAGCTGGCCTCCCAGAGTCTGCGAGCTGTCTCTTCGCTTCTGCCCTGGGGAGCGACGAAGGCAGGGGCGCAGTCACTGGAACAGAACAAAATGAGATTAAAAAGTAATGATGCGGTTGGACTTACAACAGTGGAAAGTCCTGCATGCTTAGAAGTGCATTTTTACTGAATTAAAAAGTGAGTTTTTGAATTATAAAAAGGAAGAATATTTAAGATTTTATTCATGGGTTTCAGCTTCGCATTATAGGCAACATTTTGAGGACTTTTCAACATTAAATAATACAATATTTGTTATTTGGTATACTAAAGTCAGAATGCTATTTTTCTAGATATTTTTGAGCTATAAAACCACCTGTAATTGAATACATGTAAGGGAAATCTACTTAATGTCATATTGTGGAACATTCCAAGCAGAGTAATGGCTTATCCACGGAACCAAGATGATGAACCACCATGACTGAAACGTTACACAGTGCACCATTAAGTTCTCAGTTATATCACCGTAACATAAAACAATTTCCACTTGCAGTTTGTCACACTAATGTCTAACCACTAAAACTTCCTTTTTAAACAATCCTTCAGGCTAATATTTTGAGTGTGTGAAAGGACATTAGCTCACAGCAATCAGATCACATTTGGATCCTCTGTGATTTCATTTCCTTTGACGGCTGCAGTGTTATTTGTCAGATCAGATGGAGAAGGCTAAACTGCGCCAGGAGCATTAATTATGAATCATGCCACACTACTCTGGGTCAGACAATGGAAAAACACTTCACGAAACACAAGAAATCAACATGTTATGTAAGAGCCAAGACACTATTTCCTAATGATTAAAGGAAATACAATTTGGTCAGCAGTGCTTATGTGTCAGTCAATTTCTAGTCACTTTATAGAGGTACACTGAATTAGATCCAGCTTTTTCAGTTCCACTACCAATATCCATACTATGCCTTTATGTATCTGCTGATATCTGATATTAACTGATATCAGTGCAGGGAATGAGAATGGATATTTATTTATTTATTATTATTATTTTTTTTTGTATCAAAACACAGTTGACAATTTTTTTCCAGTTGTGTTATGTAACTTATTTATCCTGTAAGTAACTACAGAACAGCTTTTTATGAATTGAAGTTCAAACATGGAGGAGCAACAGCTCAACCCCAAGTTCCTGACTGTATCTTAGGTATCTCACAAGCACTGCTGCTGTTTTCTGTGTTACCAGTAAATTATGCAGTGAGTTTTGTTGGGTGCACAGAGTGACCAGGGTGAAGATGCTGTCCAACATGCGGTATATTATTACTGACTTAATTAGATCTGTATCAGTCACGTAACTTTTCACAGATATTTCTCCGCCATCTGAGCTGCTACATCAAATCATGTTAAGGTTCATGTTTATCAGTGAAATCCTGTGCTGTAAAATATCTTTGTGAAATGTCTCCATCTGAAAGTTTACTAAACTGTCTATGTGGTTTAAATAAGCCTTTTTAAGATCGCCCAGGCTGACAGTTTCTCAGTGATTCCTCAAATGCTGTAATAAGCTAAGGTAATTAAATATAAAATAATACTATTATTATGCTTTCTTTCTTCCATCCTCCTGTCTTCCTTCTTTGACTACATTCACCAATAGTGAACAATGGTAGACGGTAGATGATACCTGAAATGTTTCCCAGAGATGGCGTGGAGCTCTTCGGCCACAGCACAATAGATACTGGTCTGAGCTCCTTCTCGAGGCGTTTTCAGAAACATGGAAAACACCGTGAACAGGATCATCATCACAGTTGAGTGCCGCGTCAGGTCAGAGTTCACCGTCCCAGGGTGCACTGAATTCACTGTCACATTAGAGCCTACAGGGACAATAAACAGGGGAGATGGTTAAAGAGAGGATTAACACTAAATCAATAGAATCTAGATATTAAGTCATGCTTTAAGTTTAAAGAGGCACTGTGTAAGTTTTCTGGTGGAGGGTCTACCATCTGTTTGTCTCCATGAAGATGGTGTCTGGAAAGTCTCGCATTAGTGTATCCATCTTGCATTTATTCAGTAACATGAGGTTTCACTGACTTAAAAACTTGCCTTCTTATTGTGAGTGGGTGAGCAGTCGATTGCACTTTGGCATCAGCTACTGTCTCCATAGAGATAAATAAGTGTAATGTGATAACATTCCAGGAAACATCTCCATAGAGAGAAGCTGGTGACGAATCTTCCTCCAGAAAAGTTACACCTTTAAATGTTGTATCTATTAAAGGACCCGTGCACATACTATGCCATACAGTGGAACATTCCAGACAAAGCAAAAACATATCCATGGAGACTAGCAGTCTCCCCACACACCTGAAAAGTTACATAGTGCACCCTTAATTGTTGCAATTTTTTAGACATCCAAGGAAAAAAAAAGTCCAGTTGTTGATAATATAGTGCACCTTTCACATTTAGACTGAAGACACACTTACCCTAATTTCTATTTTTAGCCAAATTTCTGTAAACAAGTGTCTGTATGTAGGACATTAGGGACATTTGTATTTAATTTCCCTCTCTAATCTTCAGTCTCCTACTACTGTGTTTACCCAGACTCAGTCATCTGCTCAGTCTCCCATGTTGAGTGTGCTAGATTTGAAACTGTTTGTGTACCTTGCAGTCTGCGCGCCAACTCCCTGGTAAAAAGCACATTTGCCAGTTTGCTTTGGCAGTAAGCTAATCCACTGTTGTAGCTGCCCTGGCTGTGGAGGTCATGAAAGCGAATCCAGCCAAAATTATGGGCCAGTGACGAGACCACCACGATCCGGGAGGGAGCACTGCGCTTCAGGAGACCAATCAGCAAGTACGTCAACAGGAAGTGACCTGGAGCAAGAGATGGACAGGTGGTTTTCAGATCAAGGAACAAAATTATGTCATACTCCCAGCTGTGAGAAAAAGTCATGTTGACCTTTTAATACCAAAAGGTAAAATCACAAACATTGAACCTGGTCATTAGTGACTATAGGCCCCAGTACTTGCTATATAACAACAAAAATCTACATTTTATCAATATGAATTTTCACTCTTTCTCTGTATTAAACGGCCCATATTACGCTATTGTTTGATGCATGATATAATGTTCTTTCCTTGTCAGAAACATACCTGGAGTTGTGTTTTATTTCATTCACACATGTTCAACACACACCCTCTGCATATTTAGACTGAGCTGAAACAGGAAATATTGTGTTCCACCTTGTGATGTCATGTGTTAATACAAAAAGCTCTCCACTGCCTTTTTTAACTCCATAAATCTTCACTAGGAATGATATCAGACCTGGAATCGCAAATCTCTACTGAACGGAAAGTAAAAGGTAGCTGTTAATTTAAAAACTACCACTTGATGACATCACAAGGTAGAATAGAGCATTTTGACCTTTAAATATTATTAGCCAGGATGCTATGATGTCATTTAAGATAATGGTAGACTTTATTGTCCTCATAGTGAAACAGAGAAAAATACACATTAACTGACTTCTAACTACATTGTTACTATATATTTTAATCAACGCATGTTTGACTATATAGACATTCTAACAACTTGCAACTTTCATATCTCGATTATATTTATATTTCATATATAAATATCATATATTTATAATCTATTCTTACCTAAATGATTTACTCCGATGTGCATCTCAAAGCCATCCACAGTTTTGGTGTAGGGACACATCATCACTCCTGCGTTGTTTATGAGAATGTGAAGTTGGTTGACCTCTGCAAAACACAAAATTACAAATAAGTCTCTGCTTTATCTTCACATAGGCTCTCATTTTCTCCTCACTATAGTTCATACCTCTGAGAAATTTCTGTGCAAACGCTCGTATTGAACAGGTATCGGCCAAATCTAGCTCTCTGACCTCCACATCTGCTCTGGAGTAGGACATGCGTATGCTAGCAGCAGCCTCTTCTCCTTTCTCTACGTCTCTGCAGGCAATGATCACCCGGGCTCCTACAAAAAATACATGCATTAATTAATAGTTAGTCTACTGCAGTTATGCCAGTAGTTTTGATGTTATGGAGGGCTGCAAAATCAGTCAGAATCAGAATCACAATTTGACTGGATGCAATTAGCAAATCACTTCACAGCTTCATTTAGACAAACGTTATTGATCCACAGGAGAAACTATTTGAACACAGTAGCTCATAATTTACAATACGATAACCAACGTAAAAAAAAAAATCATGGTTCTAAATAATTAAAGTACAAAGATAGCAAAATCACAAAGGCTGCAGTTATTTGTTTTTTTTTTTCTGCAAATGAGGTCTTACAATATAACCAGCAAATCCTGCATCGTACACCTCTACAATATTCTCAAATGCATGTGATTCTTGTATTAGTTCAGCAGTATGAATGTATTTAAAATCAGCAAAGTAAACTAAATCACAATCGGAATTTTTGTCCTAATCCATTCCACCTTTGTTATGTCTAACTCTGTGACAATAACAGTTTTTTCCTGTATTTTCAATCAACACACACTATCACTGGGCCTACAGTACATGAAGGTGTTAGAAGTCTCACCTCTTGTTGCCAGATCGAGAGCTGTTTCCTTCCCGATCCCTGTGTTGGCTCCTGTGATGAGGACTGTCTTTCCATCGAGTCGAGTTTGTGATGTGCACTCTGCTCCTGCTGCATATTTTCTGTTCAAAATAAACAACAGAGAAAGAAAAGGCACAGAAATGGCATTAACATACTATAATACAATCAGACTAAGTATCACTCAGTTCCAATGCAAAGTTAGAATGCTCTGAAGAAGACCAAGACATTGTCAAAACGCATGTCCCAAAAGCCAAATAAAGGACATGTGGCTTGGATCTCCTTCTCTTTTGGTTGAGTTAATTACTCATTAAATATGTCTCTAAAATATGTATATTTTAAGATCTTAAAGATCCCATTTTACACTATTTTTGATCTATGTTGTAATGTGTTTCCTGATCAAAACCACATTCACACGTTTAACACAAAAACGATGTATCTTTAGAAAACATTTAGTTCCACCTTGTCATGTCATGTGGCAATACAGGAAGTTTTTAAACTCCAAATAGCTTCTCTAGAATCATTTGGATAATTTCAACCCAGGAACTGCCTATGTCTACTGAACTAAAGCTAAAAGGTATCTGTTAACTTTAACTTCCACTTCATAAGGTCACAAGGTGAACAGAGCATTTTGAGCTTTGGAGACGTAGACAGACTAGAATACAGGACTACTCAAACAGGTGTGATATTTTCTATTAGTGACAGTGAAGACTACTACAATATACTAAGACTAAGACTACTACAATATACAAGTTCAAAAACAACAGCCTATAAACCTATAGTATAGAGTGACCAGAGGTCTGTCCCTGGACAGTCCCTCTGCCCCCTGTCCCCAGCAGATTTATCCAAAACCAGTGATTTGTCCCAGTTTTACACAGGAAATGTCATAGGTGTCCCTATTTTTGACCAATTTAAATGTAGTTAAATTATCATTTATTTAGCTAAAACACAGAAACACGTGCTTGAAAATGACCATAAGGAAGCAAAGAAGTGATTCAAGGACAATGTCGCATGCTCTTTTCACAATTTTATTTCACAACCACCCCAAACCGACGTGATCCAGTTTGGAATTTTGAAAACCTGGTCACCCTTTATTACTGTCAGTGAAGACTTCAACTAGGCTGCCGCTATATACAAATACTCCACAAGCCTAGTATGTAATTGGACTTAGAAAACTTTATTTATCCGCAAGGGGAATTATTTGGACACTGTAGCTCACACAACACAGTAATTATATCATCATTAGTAATTAGTTACAGTTACTAGTTGGCCTGTCTCATTGTCCTCATTACATAGACTTGGACATATGGACAGCTTGGTTTAATTATTCACATGGTTTGTATCTGACTTGGATGATGAACCTTTTGCTGTGTGTAAATCGTACGAGACACGAGTGAGCAGAGTTTTTCTTTGCCCAATGACTTTGCTGGAATAATGCATGTAAATATAGCTCCGCCCACGCGCTGTAACCTGATTGGTGCGAGCAGGTTAGACGGAAGAAACCTAGCCGCCTCATCTCATCTTTGCAAAAATCCCACCTTTCTCCATCACTCTTCTGTTTCATTGATTTTCTATGGGCCATGCGTTCACCCTCGCGTTGAACAATGAAATGGACCAATAAATATCCAGATCTACCCTAACTGTGCGCAACAGAAAACTAGCGCCTTTGTAATCCTTAAAATAATGGTATAATCTTTGCACTATGACGCCCTGGCAGTAGACAAGCCATCCATGACGTGCTTAGACATTGCATTTCCCAGTATATATCCAAAATAGCGAGTGGCACTCACCTGATTTGCGCTGAAAATGTGATGGCTAAAAACACGCACACGACGATGCTCGCTAAAATACATAAAAGCAACATAATGAAAAGGATAATTATGGAGCTCTCCGTCTCTACTGCCTCAGTCCTTCTCTGGAGGCAGAACAGCTGATGTCAAAGCATAAAGCGGTGTGTGAAAGATATCCCGCGCTGCATCATGGGATTGTAGTCTTTCTATCTCGGTTATGATTAGAGTATTAAAACAATAACAATTTACGATTCATAGTATAGTTAAAAAAGCTGTATTTTGCCTTATTAAGTAGTTGTTTGTAACAATTTGAAGCATTTAAGCAATAATAATAATACTTACAATTTATACAGTTAATTTAGTCCCGTTTATAATTTCAAAATAGTGTTTAATGGCTTGTAGCTTGAGTATAAAGCCGTAAATATGAGGTATATATGCAATAAAAGTGGAAGTATTTAAAGTGCGAATGCTATAAAAACTACATTTACAGAAAACCTTAAGAAGCCCAGTTAGTGCCAAAACAGAAAATATACTAAAATCGGGCCTAGGCTTTAAAGTATCGTGACAAAACTAAACAACATGACAGATTCATTCACCTTTTTACATTTCAAACACACAAAACTTTCGTATGGATAAAATTATTGTCAATAAATGTTTAAAATGCATTTTTATTCAGGCATTGTAGAGACAGCTCATCACGAGGTCCATCATAAGGAAGTCCCGGGGATCTGATTAAAATCAAAGTAAAACTACTTGATCTGCAGTTTTAATCGATTTTCCTCGTTTATTCTATTGTAATCATAATAGCTTTGGATACAAATTATTCCAAAATGTCGTCCGAAGAGTTTGAGAAGCTACACGAGATGTACAGATCTTTGTACGACGAGTTAAAGCTGCTACCAGAGAGAGCTCTCAAATGCCAAGGAGGTAAACAGTCCCATTATTGTAGTATTGTAGTATCATTATAGTATTATGAACTATATGAACTAATATTCTTATTTGCTATTTGCTATTGTGCTTTTACCTTTAAAATGTTTTTATAGAGGAGAGGAAGAGGCTGGTCAGAGTCTTTGATGAGAGGCAAGGGGAGGCTGAGGAAGTGGTGAGCATCAATGTTGATTTTTGCATTTTACCTCTTGTTACCTCTTGTCTGTTCTTTAGCTATAATCACTGCTCTGTAAAGATGTATTTTTCTTTTACTGTAGACAATTTTTTTAATTTATATGTATAAATTTCTGTTTGATAGTCTTCCTTACAAAACACCCACCAACATTTTACTTGGGGGTTCGGTGGTGGAGCATTTACATTTATAACCTAGCTCCTCTGTGTCCTAACTGTGTACATGAATTATTGAGTTTTTCTTCTGTCATAGTTACAAGGTATGGAGGATGAGCTGCGTGGGGCCCCTCCATCGTTTCGAAATGCCATGAACACGAAGATCCGTATTTATCGGCGAGATCTGGCCAAACTACAGAGAGAGATGAAGAACAACTCCTCCCATCTGACATCAGAAGGAAGCAACTATGGCATCTACTCCTCACAAAACCAGCAAAGTGTAAGTGTTATCAATACAATATGGGGCTAGGAATGAGTACATAAAAGGTATAGCTCACATATAGTGGTTTGGAGTTAAAGAATTCAAGTATCCAAATCCAAATATAATGGAGCAACAGTAGACTAATAAATATATGATTTTAGGATGCCAAGGTTACACCTGTTTAGCAGGAAGCCTAATAAAAGTCCAAATTGTTTTTATCTTATTTATTAGTTTCTGAATGGGGACAATGCGCATTAATAAACATTTCTGTAAATGTGCCAGTATTAGATATACAGCTAGATTACAATGTTTTGTATGTAGTGAAATAGAACATAGAGTTTTTGTTGTCACTTACGTAAATTGACAGTGGATATGGTTACAGCACTGGCTGTTCATTTACAAAAACATTAACATGTTTAGCAGACTGTTTAGCCAAAAACAAAATGTTCTTTTTGTCTGATGAACATCCACATTCTTATGAATTCCTCATTACGAAACTGTGTTACTGTTTTGTTTACTTTTTGCTCTCTGTAATTCTTATTTTGGAAAACTTACTCTTGGCTACATCTGTTCTCATTGTATTTACCTCACTTGTCTATTCCCATATTCTCATTCTGTACAGACACACTTACAGTCCCAGAGAGCATTGCTCCTGCAGGGAACTGAGTCTCTCAATAATGCTACTCAAAGCATCGAACGCAGCCAACGCATCGCTGTGGAAACAGAGCAGATCGGCACTGACATCATTGAGGAGCTGGGGGAGCAGAGAGAACAGCTGGACCGAACAAGGGATAGAGTAAGTGAAAAGGGCATTATAAATAAATACATAAATACATATATAAATAAATACATAAATAAGTTATTTATCCCACAGGGGCAATATAAGCATATTGAACAGTTGGAATTATATGAAAGAAAATATCTGTAAAATAGTGAAAGGGCATGGGGAGCTAAATTAATTAATTAATGTTACTTCCTGGTCACAAAGTAATTAATGCTAGCAATTACTTCATGCAAGAGGGAAAGTTAAAACTCTCTTTTTTATTATAACAATAATCTCCGACTTAAATTTTACAATGTATATTTCGTAATGGCTCATCGTATTCTTTGATTGACACCTTTTCTGTTCTGCAGCTTGTAAATACAGGAGAAAACCTTACACGAAGTAGGAAAATTCTGCGTAACATGGCACGACGGTAAGCTGTCTCATGTTTTAGCCTTTATGTTCAAGTAAACAAACTTAAAATGTGTTTTCTTCTTTTTTATTGCAGGCTTGTGACGAACAAGTTGCTGTTGGGCATTATTATTCTGATGGAACTGGCCATTTTGGGTGGTGTTGTATACCTCAAGTTTTTCAAAAAATAGGACTTTCTTGGCAGAAAAGATGGACCTTGAGTCTTTCGTGACTCTGCAGTAGCAATAATACTGTTTTATTTCTTACATGAGGACAGTGAAATGGTTTCGGATGGTTGGATTAACGTCCAGACAAAAGAACAGACTGGTGAAGCATGTGAGCTATCCAAAACGTGAATATTAAATGCACACTGTTTATGATGATAATGAAAACCTTTGAAGGAATTTTTGGGACATTTTTAATTTTCAAGAGATTACTGATTTTGCTGTCACTCTTTCTCTCATGGTGGATGGATGCTGCAGTGCTGGTGTCTTTTTTATTACCCTATTGTACTGTGGTGTTATGAGTGAATGATGATGTAATGCCACAAACACTGGGTCTAGTTTTGAAGCATATGTTAAGATGATCGTTTGAATCAAAACATGTCAGAAATATGATTGTGAATAACCAATGGAAACTAATAATACAAACTGCAGTGTTTTTATTTATGACCAGGCAGCAGTTAGTGTGTGGCAATAACTATTGGGAGAAGGTAAAGCTAGACTCCACACCTTTTCATAATTTAAGCTCTGAAAATGTAACCTCTAGAAAACATTTAAACATTACTTTTTATTGCAACAAATTCAAGTTCAAGATGCACTATATAATTTTTCTGCTGGAGAGTCTGCCATCTGGTTGTGATCATGGAGGTGCTTTGCTTGGAATACTCCACAGTATGGGATTACACTTGCATTCATTCAATTGCAGGTGCTGTATTACCTGATTGTAAAAATGCCTTAAAAACATTATTATATGTTAGTGGGAGTGGGCGCACCTCTTCACAGATCTGAACTGTAACTTGGCATTCTGACATCACAGCTTGTCTCAGTGGTAATGTTTTTTTGCCATACTGTGGAACATTCCTGATAAAGCAATAACATTCTCCATGGAGACAAGCACTTGGCAGATCCCCCACCAGAAAAGTTACATAATGCATCTTTTAATATGAAATCTGATTATTGTACATGGGGCTGTATTTTGCACAGCTGGTCATACTGGTATATCTGATTTGTTTATTTATCTACTGTAAAATCCATAAAGCATTGTTACAGACTATTTTGCCTTTGTGCAATGATTAAATCTTAATTATTTAACTCCAATGTTCTTGGTGTCTATATATAATTAGAAAGAGGCCCCAAAAGCCAAAGAGACTAAAGTTGACAAAAACTTTCTGAGCGGAGCTGATGTCACAGAGGGCCAAGTTAGTGCTGAACAAACAACATGTGTTACTATGGCTATAATTCTCAAATAAAAGGCGATAAATTTGTTTTTAATGCAGCGTTCTTGAAGTGCCACATCTGCCACTATGTTTTCATGTTCTAGAGAAAAAGTGCTTTCTTGGCCTGATGCTGGATATTAATGATGGAAGACACCAGTGATCAGATACCAAGTAATTACATGACAAATACCATGGTACCTATCCAATACTGCGCCGATATACACCACCTACCAAAAAAAATCTTGAGACTTTTCTCTGTATGTTCACTGTTTTTACATTTCTTGTATTATTTGCTTATTGCTCTTCTGACTGTTTTAAAATTGTTTTGTAAAGGGTGTCCTGAAAAGCGCTATATAAATAAAATGTATTATTTATTATTGTTAATATATCAATGAGTTTCATATTATAATGCATTGAAATTCCTCTTCTATGAAGAATTCCACCTTGACATTATCTTTCTCCACCCCTGCTTGAATTGATTTAAAGATTAAATATATATGTAGATAAACTAAATTATTAACAATGCATTTTCAAATCTGACTTTTTCACAGCAATATTTGGAGAAAAAATAAGTATCAGTGTTTTTGTCTGAGAACTGAAACTTTACACTCAGTAATGATAGATCAATATTTGGTATCAATCCGTCCACTACCACTGGATACAAAAACAAACCATTGTCACCTGATACTGTTTTAGATGTCCTAGAATGGTATGAAATGATGTTTCATTTGTTTGTAATTGAAATGAAGACAAAGAATCTCAAACACTCATAAAATATTACATAACATTTATGGAAGACCAAAATAGAAACAGTAGTCACAAGAGGTATCAATGTAGTGGCTACATTATTTTGTGAACATTAAATTAAAATAGCAAAATAAAACACAGCAGTTCAATCAAAACTAGGTATCAGTTAATACTGATCATCTCTTTTTCTATATGTTATTGATGAAATACAAAAGTAAACTCTAAAGAAATACCATAGCTGGTCCAAAAGTGCAACACATTTCAGTATCATTATTTCTAACTGGCACAGCCACAAATGAGCCCATATAAGGACCTCTGACGCAGACTCTTTCTGTTAAAATGAACACACAATAAATATGTGGTAGCTGTGAGGTCTAACACAGTACATCATATAGCAAAATAAGTTAATGTTGAAGAAATGACAAATCCCCTTTAATAACAGTAATGTAACAACGCACATGGAGCCACTTAAACATACAGTGAAAAGTTACATAATGCACCTTTAGTACTAATGCTGGTGGTTGCATTAAGGGACCCATTTTGTACAGGTGGTCATAATGTTATGATTAAATCTTAATTATGTAACTCTAGTGTTCTTGATATCTGAATATAAAAATGAGGGTAAATATACAGTAAAAATGCATAATTCTAACAGCATAAAAACATGGTGCAGTATTACAATCAGTAGTATCACTTGTTTTTGTTGTTGTTTTGCACACTTTTAAGTTTTTCTTTTAATCCACAATGGACTGTTGTTGTTATACTGAATTTCAGTCAGTATAAATTATACTGATTATCATTCTACAGTTATCCCAAAAGCTGTTTAAACAGAGTTGGGGTGAGCCTTATTAGGAAAATTTAGGACTGGCTTAAGGCTAGAATTGATTTGTGTTTTTATTGCGTTGTTACATCCCTCTTGTTACATATGGTAGTGGTTCACGACTTCTTTGAGAAGTCCGTTCACATGTTTTAAATAGAACAACGCAGCAAAGAAAAAAGTACATATTCAGTTTAGTTCAGTCAATGCAGTCTCTGGTTGTGGAATGCTCAGGGACATTGCAGCTTCGTTATCTCCTAAAGTCTGAGCTGTTCTGTGTCCTCTGCATTCACAGCAGGGATTTCATGGAGGGAAGCATGAGCGCCCTCTCTCGTCTGCCCCAGGGATGACGCGATGACGTCCACGGCTAAAGATGCAGTGGCCTCGATGGCTTCAGGGGTTGCGCCCAGAATAGGGTTCACCTCCACAAGGTCCATGGCTGACAGCAGGCCTAGTTAGCAAAAAGAAAAGATTAGACATTAGGGTAATACTTATAGTATACTTGTTATTATTAATAGTGTTGGGATGAGACTAGAAGGAGGAAGGAGATTGGTTCCACAAGATTCGGTTCAAATTTTTTGCCTTTTTTAACCTTTTAATTGCTTTAATTGCTTCTCAGAAATGTAACTCACCATTACTTAACTCTTTTTTGTCCAATTCAAATGTAATTGCAAGATTTTTTTTTTTAAATGTGTGCACAAAATCTTCAGACAGAATTGCCTGAACATTTTGTCTGAGACCTTGTGGCACAAGATGTTGTCCCACCATCAAAATATACATTCTTACTGTTGTTACAATACTTACATTTCAAACTAGGAATGCATTACATTTGTTTTTGGTTTAATAAAGGCAATGTCTTTGTGATAAAAACTTTTTCTTAAACAAATTGCACTGCGTCTATAGTCCACATAACAATTACTATTTAATATTAATTATAGTCAATTATTTATTTGTCACACAATCTGATTAGTCAGAGCAGCTATTGTTTCACACTTTGCATTCAGTGTGTAGCACTGGTTTGAGAGACTGCATTAGGGTAACTGTGGCTTGAGATGTACTCCATTATTATGGAATGAATTGCTAATGGACATGTATGGTATTTTGAGCAATCCTAATTACTTTTCTTACAGTGTCTTTTTTTGCACATTTTTAATGCAGAAGTGTTGTTCATAGGCTAGCCCTTTACCTGTGTTGTGTATTTCCTCTGTGATGTAGATGCCCTCTCTGTAGGTCAGCCCCCCGTTCACTGGAGTCCCAGTTGCAGGAGCAAGGGAGGGATCAAACGCATCAATGTCAAAGCTCAGGTGAATGGGACGCTGTTGTCTGTTAAAATTAAGGACAGAATTCAGGTAAGACCAAGATAGTGTCATCTAGGGCCTTAACTCTTTGAAAAAGGAGCTAATGCCAAGCTTATTTTGAAATGTTTGAACACTAAAATACCTTCCCAGAAGGTTGTCAAGAGTGACCTCCATGACTCTTTGGATGCCGAGTCTGTCGATGTCTCTCATGGAGAAGTACTGAATGCCAAGGTTTTTCAGTATGTGACTGTAATATACAAGGTTATGTTTAGTCTAACATGTCAAACTAATTTAATGAATATGACACAAGTGTATATACTTACTGCTCCCCAGGGTCGACGTCTCTCAATCCAATGTACACGATGTCTCTTGAGGTAAGGAACGGTTTCATCCACCCAAATCCAGGCAGATCTGGAACCTTTGGGAAAGTCATAGAAACAGTTTTAAAAGTGGACTTCAACTCTAACTTTACTATTTAACTATAAACCATTACAATAACAATAGCTATTTCATGATTAAATTAAGCCATAATCAGGTTATGTAGAGAAATCTGGTATTTTTGGGCCCAATTTGATTTGAATGCCACCCATGTCAAATGCATGTTGTCACAATACTGAACACTTTCTTAGGTATTATGATGTGGTCTTATTATGGTTTTGATATAGATCATTCTAAATAATAATAATAATAATATATATATATATATATATATATATATATATATATATATATATATATATATATATATATATATATATATATATATATATATATATATATATATATATTTATTTATTTTTTTTTAATGAATGACCTTAGACCCTGTGTATACTCTAAACAATAATAAGAATGAGATTTAAGTAATTTCCTCTGATGTTGTCTCACCTTGTTTTGCAATTCTTTTAGCATGAAGGCCACTGGCTGTCCATGCAGGTTCCCAGAAGGAGAGGTCATGGGGGTGTTGATGTCTGCGTGAGCGTCCACCCAAATCAGGCACAGGTCGGGGCACTGCTGGGCATGTCCTTCCACTGAGCCCATGGCAAGACTGTGGAGGAACAAATGTAAGTATAAACAGAAACATAAAAATAACAGGTGTTTATGTATAGGCCTGTCTTTGTGGGAGTCATGACACTGAGAAGTGTTTCATTATGTGTAAAGATTACATATGTACAAGGCAGCAGATACATTGAGCAGATTCTGTTTCCTGGTGTATGTATTGTAAAGATTAACATTCATACCAACATGTACCTTTTCAATTAAACTTTTAATGCAGGTCTAACTACTTCTAAAAATAAAATACTGACTTATTTGTCCGTCTAAATATTGTATGTTAAGTGAAAATAGATCAACCCCAGTATTTATTTTGGAAGCAGTCACATGGAATAAGCAGACATAATACATTTATTTATATATAGGCCACTTTTTTTTTTTAATACATTTTTACTGTATAAAAGAAAAAACTAAACCAAAACAAATGAACCTGATAAACCAGACTAAACTAAACTAAGACCATTTATAAGACACCAGAACAATAAAATAAACAATATAAAGTAAAGTTTGGAACCATAATAGATAATATAGCCTTGTCTCATTGTTTTGTGTGAGAAGGTGAAAAGAACAGTAAGCAACAGTATACATTATCACACAGTACATCTCGTCCTTACCTGTGATCCCCTCCCAGCATAACTAGGGTGTGTCCAGCCCCGATGGCTCTGCTCACTGCTCCAGACAATTTCTTAGTGGCTGCTCCCACGGTGCGCGGGGCCTTCACTTCCATGTAGGGTTCATCACTCTCAATTTTGGGAAACGTCAGGTCCCCAAAGTCATGGACAGAGTAGTCTAAAAACACATATAATACCACATGTAAAACCTTGTAAAATAATTGGACAAGCAAAATAAGCTGATTACTCTAAAATTATTATTACAAATGTTTTTCCTTCTTTCTATGGCAATGTTTACAAATTGTGCTTTTTGTGCAAACTTGCCCTACTACTCCCAAAATGTAAAATGAAAGAATAACCCTGCATAAACCAGGAAGGTAAAAAAGGAGTCAAATGGGACTTAGAAAAAAAGTTAAAATTTTAAGATAATTTTTTTTAATCAAATTCTTTTTTTAGACTATAACTATTACTATGGTATGATACATTACAATGATATATTGGTGATATTTTTGGAGCCCTATTCTGAAGCATTTGGCTGAGTCACTGTTTAGTATCATTTACAGTTAGTGTGCTAGTCAAGGTCATAGAGATTTATTTATGGACACATGGCAGACTGTCCTTCTCTGAGGGTGTCTCTGGAGCCTTCAAGCGTGACATGACAAGTATTCTCTTCCTTAGTCAATCAATGTTGGGGTAACATTCGTGACGAGGCATTTCCCAGATCTCATGTTTCTCACTTATGTCCAATTACACTCAAAGGATATCACAGTATGGTACCCAGCAAACATAGATATAAAATAGATGAAAGAAAAAGTTCCATTTCATCAGACAGAGTGGGGTAAACAAGTGATTCGAGGAGCCATATTGAGGACTCATCTTGGAAATGTGAGCCCCGATGTCCGTATAAAGTTACTCTGCTGATCTAAAAGAACCAACGGTCTACTTTCAGTTCCATACCATTTGTAGACTGGACAGGAATAGCCCTTGTCTTAGTTACAATTTGATATAGGACAATTCAAGTCTGACCCACTAAAGAAAACCTGAAAGTCTTTCAATTGTTCCTCTTTTTACCTATTTCTGTTCCATTTTGATCAAGAGGACAGATAGTTGCTGGCTAATTTGTTTGTTTTTGCAGAAATATTCTCCAATGCATTTAAACATGATGCAAGTAAGTGGCTGAGTGGACATGGCTTGGGAATTTAGCCCATTCGTGTTTGGTTTCATACACTGGCCATGCTTAGTTCGTAGCCTGTTGGTCACAGTATATCTTCAACAGTGTGGTCAATTGCTCTGGTGGAAGCCTCAGAAAGAGCAAGAGGTACTTTGAATGAAGATGGGCACAGATCACAGGTTTTATTCATGAGTTCAAAGGAGACATTTTAAAATTCAAGGACTAAACAGAATAGATGACACAAGATCTCAATATCCACAATATTTTCCACTTATGGATAATCATCTTGTGACATTTTTTTCTGTCTTTACATTTGGCTTGCTTCTCAAATAAAGTACAAATGGTGAGGCCACAATGTATCATAAATTATGTCAAAATATTGTCTTGTCATTATCATGAACACAATTTTACATATACTTATATTATATTTATGTACTCATCTTGTGGGAATTATATCTTCATCAGTAAATTCAAGAGTAAATATGGACTAAATAAAAAATGGAAACTAACCAGGAACCACACCAGTTTTAAAAGAGGAATGAACCAGCAAAAGAACTGGACTAGACGCCTCGTACAATTGGAGGAAGCCAGAGCACCACGACTCAATTTGAAAACTACTGTACTAATTTTTTAGATGTTTCTTTAAAGAGAAGTCATAAAGATTTAGTCGTGGTAAAATTTTTGGCCTATATAAATGAAATATTACATGAGCCGAAACTTGTCATGGCTTGATTTGGTCCTGAGGAAGTGCCTTGGTGCTTACATAACACAAATGTTTACATCGCATGAGCCCTACAGACCCACATGCTGGAAATACCTGCCAAATGTTTCCTCCTCCTCTATTACCTGTCTAATAAATCATACAATACTGATGAGGTGGCCAGACTCTTACTTTGCTGATGTACACATTCTTACATATAGAGGCCACAAGGTCTCATTGACACTAAAATAAACTTACACTTAAAATAAACTTGGACTTTAATCACTGTAGAGTCTTAACCTATGCCATTAGAATACAGTAATCTTTTTAATTGCAGTTATATATGATACTAAACTAGCCTATAATCAAACTTTAAAATAAGGATTTAGTTTTAGTCTTTTTCCGTATAATTTGGTGTGATAATCTAACCTAAACAGTCTTGTAACAATGCAATGACCAGGTCTAACATTTTTTTCAAATGAGTTACTACAGCCTTTCCCACACAGATTGACGTAGCTGCCCTGTCGGCCTGATGAGTCAATCTCTTTTGTCATGTACAGTGGCGGAGTTGCGCGTGGAATTTCACTAACAATGCAAATCTTTTTCCGCGCGGGGTGTTGCCCTTCGCATTCACGGTGGGCATTTCCATTGTGACCAAATTATAGAGGAGCCCATTAACAGTCAGTGCGCATGTGAGGACAGTGCAACTTCCCGTCCGAGCATGTGCGCTTGGTACAATGGAAAAGAAAACTACAGCGGAACCATGTGGCTCCAACCAGACAAAATGAACTCACATCAAAGGACACGCCTGAAGCAAAGATCTGTAATAGTTGCATCACTTCTTTTGAACATTTGCACTGTACAGTACTATATATTGCATCACATTAAAGCTCACTGAGCACCCATCATCACTTGGTGACGTCTGACACATCAAAAGAGCTATGAGTCTGGAAAATTCCAGCGTGTATCCGTAAACGCCTTGGGTAAACGTGAAGTTCAAGCTGATTAAAGGCTTTTAAAAAATAAAATATAAGCTTAAAAGTAAAAGCAAGAACGCGGTAGCGATAGCTGGGATCTGTGAGACAAAAAAGGTCTTCAGTGATTACACGCTGACGTTTGTAAGCCTATTAAAATTTTGGTACATCCAAGTCTCAGGTCATTGAGTTCAAGAGCCGTAATTACAGCGATCACGACGTGAAAAACGTGTTGAGTTGCGATATAAGTACTGCACAGATGCTTTTGTTGTACAAACTACTCCTCTATCGGATGTATAGGCTTATATGTTTCCTGTCGCAGTACCCAGGTGATGTAACTGGCTGCCTAATTTTATACCGGAACTTACAGGTTAAATATGCGCTAAACACTGCAGAAAGCACCCACGGCTCGTTATATAACGAGGCGACAGAACACTTTCTTTTATCATCCTGTCTGACTCGTTCTCACTCACCTAACGCCGACAGTCTCTCAATCAGCCCGGCATCTCGTATCACTTTAGGTCCGTGCTCTACGCCTCTTCTTTTCTGTAACACAAAAACCCATTTAGCTGAAGGTAGGTAAAAAGATTACGCATAAAACTAAATCGTGTCTAAATTTAGCAATGTTACCTGTCCTCTGGAGAAAGGAGCGCCAAGAACAGCCACGGATTGCGCTCTGCTTTGCTGGCAAGTGTGATTTAGTTGCGTTTTGAGAAGTCTGAATAACGATCCTCTCAATGCCATCTTTCCCTCTTTGAAATGAAGTCTCTGTCTAAACCGGAGTACCAAAGAGCTGCGCGCCGTTCGAATGTCTGACGAAAACGCAGTGAGATGTTGCGTGGATGGATGCTGAATGTGGACGCGCTGCTGCAAGGGGCATGTCTTATGGCGGCAGGACCTACTTAAATATTCATGAGTTGTTCAATGGGAAGCGCAGGGTGAATGGAGACGGTTAGGACTATCATTATTCAGACAAACCAAGCACAATTAAATCACATTACGCCGATTTATATGTAATAAACTGTGAATACAAAGTATGTTTTAAACAGTTTCTAGCAATAGTACAAGAAGTTCTATATTAGGACTCTGACGTCAAGCTTAATGACACACCTTCTGACTAGCCAATCAGGAGTGCGTATAAAGAGTGAGTTCGTGCGATGGGAGTGGTCTGGGCAGTGATGTAGGGCAAGGACCCTGTTTTTAAATGTTTGTTATGGATCGCCAACTATATTCTGCTGTCGGCGCAAGGTGAAATTTTCCACAGCTGTGCAGAAGACGCAGCCAAGCGGCATAGATAGGAGTGTTTACATTTTACTGTTCGACCTGGATGTTTGCGTCAACCACGTGCCCATGAAGCGAGCCACCTTTCTACACATGTCAGTTTTCAGGTCAATTTGAAAACACACAGCGACATTGAGCCCTCACTAGGTTGCTGCAGACCACACATCTGCGCATTGTCAAGTGTAAAGGAAGTTGATTTTGATTTATTATTTGCATCTACTGTATCCAGTGATCTGAATTAGGTTTTAAATTAACCTGTAGAATCATGTCATTAAATGTAGCCCGCTATTGATGAAGTACAGCATGTTTACGTCTTTAAAAATAGCACTGGTCTATTGTGAAATACATGTAACATGAACATATGTGCCCTGTTTGGCTCACATCACTGATATACATAAGATTATTTGAGGTCATCCATCAGTTTATACACTGTAAACAGCTTTGGCATAGGAATAATATATGTTAAGAGTGATATATGTAATAAAATGAAAACAAAAAACAGTTTATTCAACCATCAAGTCATTTTTATTGAAAAAAATTAAGTGCACTACAAATACTGAGGATTCTTCTGACTCACACCAACAGCCATCAGACAAGATGGCACAGAACATGACCACATTATTTTGCTCACAGCTTTCTGTCAAAAACATTTCATATGATAGTAATTGGCACCTAAACTAAGAAACAAGAAGCCATGACTTGAAGATATTTGAAAGAGGGAGGGTAAAAATAAACGATTTATGTTTTGCAAATTTCAACCAAAAAATAATTCTCATAAAACCTTTTTCCGATTACGCTCACGTTGAACACAAGATTTACATGATGGATATAAAGGTACAAAATTTAGGCCTAAAAAGCCTATTCAAAGTAAACAAACATTGATGCTTTGTGGAATGCCCCAACTCTCTGAAAATAATCAAATTATAAAAAACAACATATGAAAAAGGGGGGTTAGTAATAAAATCCACCTCCACCTCTTCCACCTCCATATCCCCCTCCTCGTCCTCTCCAGCCGCCACGCCCCCCAAGACCACCTCCACGGCCACCCCAACCTCCTCCTCCTCTGCCTCCTCTACCCCCCCAACCACCTCCACCATATCCTCCACCATAACCTCCTCCATAGCCTCCTCTGCCCCATCCACCTCCACCACCCCGTCCTCCAAAGCCTCCGTAGCCCCCTCTTCCTCCACCAGGACCCCCACGGGGCTTGTTGAATTTGGGCTTAGCAAAGTCTAGAGCCACCGTGTTACCATCAATCTCTGCACCCTCCATAGACTCTTTAGCTGCATTACAAGCTTCCTCAGTTTCAAATTCCACAAAGCCATAGCCCTTGGAAACCCCAGTGTCCCGGTCTGATACAATCCTGGCTGAGACAGAGCCTTTAAATGCTTCTTTGAGAGTCTCATCGGTTGTGTCTTCAGAAAGACCCCTGACAAATAAGGTTTTGAACTGTCCCCCGAATCTGCCCCCCTCCCCTCTCCTGTTCTTGCTCTTCTCCCCGACATAGTCCAGTCTGACGGTTCTTCCCAGGATTTCAGTCCCATTCAGCTCCTCCATCACTTTTTCTGCCACAGCTTCAGACTCAAACACTAGGTATGCAATGCCCTTGTTCCTGTCTCCTGGTGGTAACCTCAGATCCACTGCATCTTTGAAGGCCTCCTTCAGCTCCTCAGGTGTAGCGGAGAAGGGCAGATTTTTAGCAAACAGCGTACGTGCATTTCTTTCCTTCTTGTCCTCCAGTGTGCAGTCTTTACTGGAGGCTTTGTCCAGCTTCAGCTCCTGATCCAACAGCATCTGACCATTAAGCTCTAGTGCCTTCTCCAGGTCCTCTTCTGACGCAAAGTCCACGTAACCACACTTTTTGGAGTCCCTTAACCGGACTTCAACAACCTCAAGGTTGTTTTCGCCAAAGAACTGCTTTAGAGATTCTTTTATTTCATCTGCTTCTTTACTTGTATTCAAGTTTCCCACAAAGAGGCAGCGCTCTGGCGCCACAGCCTTCGCTTTCTTAGCATCTGGGGACTCCTCGTCGGACTCAGCCTTCCTCTTGGCAGAGTGGTTGTTGTCTTCTCCATCCTCATCGTCGTCTTTAGGAGAGCCCTCTTCTTCAGCGGCCTCCTCTGGGGATGGATCCTCTGGGTCCAGATCATCTGCCGCCTCTTCGTTTACCTCCTCCTCATTGTTCTCGTCTTCTCTCGATTCATCCTCCAGTTCTTCTGCTGGAGGGTTAGCCTTCTGTGTAGCCTGCTTATTAGCTCCTTTAGCTAGCCTGACCATGATGCCGCAGTGTGCTACAAAGAAACACGCGTTACTGCACGAATATGGACGAATAAAGTAGGCACACAATCACGCACGTGGCTGAGTCTGCGCTACACAGATAATGGACAGAAAAAATAGATTTACGAATACGGGCCGCGGCTTCTCTGCTAAATTTTGCTACCTTTGCGCGTACTCGTCGTCCAAATTTTCTTCCGGTGTCATGAAATGTGATAGCGAAAGGAATATTCGTGTGTTGATATCTGGCGCACTCTGGTGTTGAAAAACAGACAAGCAACTAGTAAAAAAATTTATTCCCAGAGTACATTTCTAAAGGCATATTTTTCTAGCCAAATAGTTTCCCAAATAATTTCAGATGGGACAGGCAGATCTCAACATCTAATCCCAAAATGTTAGTAGATTTAACTTGGAGGTTCAGCTAACCACTTCTGATTCTGCAAAGGCTATTTGTGATGAATTATGATGAACACCTATAAATAGAATCGGTATTTCATGTCTGCAGTAAAATCGAAATAAACACATTTTATTTCACATTAAACAATGGAGATTCATTTTACAAGACCAAAACAACAATTAAATATTAGTTTAAATACTTGTTTTGATAAATGCTTTTACAATTGCAGTGGTATTTGGTACTCACTGAACTAGAGGAAATACTAAAGTCGATGTTAAACGATTCGAGCCACAGTAAATCACGATATGTTTTTCTTCCCAAATATTCTACAGTTTTTCTTAATTACACAATCTTTTTGCCTGAAAGACTAAACCATGGGCGCAAGCCGCGTGTAAACACAGTGTCACTTCCCACAATCCATTTCGAAGCTAATGGCACCTTTGTGGAGAAGTTTAATGTTTTAACAATGGTTTTAAAGTGTCTTTAATTAACAAGTATCGGTCAAAGCTACATTATAATACTCTCTTGGATTCAGTCTAAAAAGCAAGTGAGTAAAAGAAACATTGTGACTGCGCTAACAAAGCCGAATAGCATGCTAACGTGAGCTAATTTATTTAGCCACTTAATGCTAACACGGGAGACTCCTGTAGAAATGAAAATGCCGCTATCATCAACTAAGATAAAACCAATATATCTAATCTAAATAGCCCTTATATTTCAGGATGTCGTTCCCGCCTCAGCAGATAAGCATCCAGCCCTTACCACCGGGGGTCCCTCCTACCCAGTTTGGGGCATATGCTCCTCCAATCCCTCCAGGTAACTACGTACACTTCTAATAGTTCAGTGCAGAATCAATCAAAGCCTTTGTAATGTGTAGATAAGCTAAATTTAAGTTGCTAGTTCTTTTCTGTCACTGTTCAAACGCACATTACTAGTTTCCATATTTAAATTTTAATACACCGTCCAAAATAGTACTGCTTTGATGCTACTATGATGTATTATGACCAGGAAATAAATTGTGTCAGTCACTCATTAATACATATTTGTTGGTTAAATAAATGCCTTTTTTGAAATCACTGAAATCATCACACTTATTTTGATCCATGCATCTTCCTTATATGTTTTTTCATATGGTGTTTTTTCCAGGTACTCCCATGATCCCTGTTCACATGGGCGTAGTGGCCTCTGCACCACCAGTGAGTTAAAAAGTTACTGAATGACACACGTGTGCATGATATTGTGGTATGACAATATCTGTGAAAGTGCTTAGTTATAGAAATATAATTATGATTTTAGAATTGTTGTGATGTGTGTATTTTTTGTATATTCAACAATATTATATTGTTATAATAATTATGAAATTATTATTTTAATATAACCTTTAATTTGTTTTTGGTTTATGGGATCTATAATGTTGTCATTCTCAAATCATATATCAAAACCATTATTATTTACTATACATGTGATTGGCAGTTCTGAGTTGTTGTTTTTATGTGTTATTGCAGGTTTTGATTACCACTCCAGTTACTATTGTCCAGAAGCCAGTTCTAACAAAGGCTGGTTCTGATGCAGCCAAGTCCACTGATGCTGATGATGCTCCTACCACCACTGTGTTTGTGGGGAACATTTCAGACAAAGTTTCAGACCTCTTGGTTAGACAGCTGCTAGCGGTGAGTTTAGTTTATCAGTAAATAATCACCACTAAGTGTGGAGTAAATTAATAATGTTCTGTCAAGCACCTTTGAATGTCCAGAAAAGCTCTATATAAAATTGATGCATTATTAATGTGAAGGTTATTGCTTGTACAAACCATTCTGTGTCATCTGCATGTTGGCGGAGAATATAACTTTCCAGGGATGATAAGCAACTATTAATTAATTCTTCATTCGTTCTTCTTATCCAATTCAATAATTTCACTTGTGAATCAATAAAGTTCAAGTATAAAGTTTATGAACTATAAGGTAGCCTTATGTTTAATGGGCATTTGTTGAGGGTGTATCTTGCCAGATATTATAGTTGGTTTGAGCTGTTAATAGTTTTAATGGTTTAGGCTGCTTGAAACGTGTTGAGATAACTGTCAAATACCTTGATCTATTAATGCAGAAATGTGGTGTTGTTTTAAACTGGAAACGTGTGCAAGGAGCTTCTGGCAAACTACAAGGTAAGTTTAAATTTTCTTAAAAAGTTTAGTTTCTTGGGGACTGAAGGTGGAAATTAACAATTTTGCTGGCACAAACATGTAAATTCCTTGTGTAGCTCAATGTTTTTATGTACATTGTCCCTGATAAATAAACAAATAAACTCTTGTTTGGACATTTATTCAACCAAATGTGTTTTATACTGAAACCATATGTGTATTATGCCACAGGTTTTGGGTTCTGTGAGTACAAAGAACCAGAATCTACCCTCCGTGCGCTTAGACTTCTGCATGAGTTACTTCTTGGAGACAAAAAGCTTTTGGTGAAAGTGGATGCCAAGACAAAGGCCCAGCTGGATGAGTGGAAAGCCAAGAAGAAAGGCGTCAATGGAGTATGTATACAAGTTGAAAAGTAATAAAAAACTTACTATAGAACAGGCATAACATTAGAGAAGATGGTGTGATTAGAACAAAAGCCAGCAGAGTTTACTTTATTCTGCCCTAAACACCTTTGTCTCTAAATGTTAACTCTATTCATTTCAATAACAATTTTGAGAAAAGTTTTGCTTTCTGTATATGACATTAAGTGAGTTCATTTGTGTAAAATATTCAATGTTCAATGCTCTGGAGGGCCTGAAAACAGCATTGTAGTTTGTATTAAACTCATTTGCTGTCAAGAGTGGCAGCCCCATGCAAAATACTACAGCCCAATTGATGATGACGCACATGGCAAATTGAATATTGCATTGTCCAAAATGTACTTTAAACTTGCAGGAGGCAGCTGGTGAATCCAAAGATGCGGAAGAAGAGGTTTTGGATGATGACACGTTGCGCCGTGATCAGGAAGTGAAAGTGGCAATTAGCGCTTTGCTACGAGAATATGCAACTGACCACAGTGCTACCTCACAGGACGATGATAGTCAATCTCGCATCAAGAAACTGAGAGAGAAGAAAGATGAGGTAACATTTAAGTTGCATTTGGATAAAAGAAATGTCAATAGTTGAGAAAAAGTGATGCTAAAATGTGTACTGAATGTGACTGGCTTCTGTTACTTGCACAGGTGGATATCAGTGGTATTGAGATAGAAGATGACAAACGAGACCTGATTTCCCGAGAGATCAGTAAATTCAGAGATACACACAAGGTATGTCACGTTTATGCATTTTATTACAGTTTATAAGCCAGCAGACTCCTGTCCTAACTGCAAATAAATGGTGAAGGGTTGTTTGTTGCAATGCAGAAATAAAGTTTAGATGTAATTCCTATTCCAAGTCAGTGCCTCTTAGGCAAACCAGTCATTTATTTAAAAAAGTATATACCTTATGACACAGTGTTAAAGATAATCTGATCAGCAAATTGTAGAATTTGGGGTCCAGCGAAATCAAGCAGGTTTACTGATACATTGTAGAATGTTGTACCTAAAATTGTAACATACAAATATTGCAAAGATTCATGTTTGTTTAAGAAAGTATATCAGTATTGAAGTCTCATTGTTTGACAAAGTATTGTTTGTGTTTTCTGGCACATAACAGTCACAGCATTGGGAACGTATTACATAAATGTCTTAGTTGGGCCACTGGCCACATCAAATCTGGATTTGTTTTAATCTATTTGGCTGACAGCACTGACGCCAAATTCTTTCATCGCTACATGAGTCCATTTCATTTAAACCTAATACAAAATAAACCAAGAAATCCAAATGCACGTTTTCCTCTTATATACTGCTGTCAGTGTTGTAGAATATGCTGATAAGAAAACCAAGTAGTTAAAATAATTGTATATTAGACAACAAGTACACAATGCAGCTACTATATAGGACAAAGTTATGTTTGCAGTTCTAGTTTTATACATTTGCTTGAACTCACATTGATTTAAAAAAAAAAAAAAGAGAGAGAACAGAACCATGTGACCGATGTATTTGCCTGGAGCCTGACTTTTATTGGAATTGTTACATCAGGTCCATAATCTGTGATCATTGCAAATCACAGAGGGCAGGTTGACCTGTTACATACATGAACAACATTAATTCGATATATGTGCATGTTATAAGCTTAAAGCACTCAATAGAATATAGTGGAAAAAGGAAATGGGCAAGTCACTGACAATTTGATGGGTGAATGCCTTTTACAATACAGTAATATTCAAATTAAGTAGGTATAGAAAATGAAATATAGGGATTATTTTTATTATAAAATAACTTGGTACCCAATAAAATAGCATTCTACACAAAGTATTTTTCCTTTTCTTGTGGTTTAATATTGTGGTCAATATTCAATATATACTAGTTTAATACTGTACAATTCTTTAATGGCTACCTGTATAATATGCCTATAATCAGCATAGACTGTACAAAGAAGTGGACTAAGGGAGTGTGATGTCACCTACAGCGTTCAGCTCCAGTCAAATGAAGCCCATGATGCTTTCAGTTATAGGGGTGAATTTGGAACCAAGTTCCATATCAAGAATTTATTTATGGACATAATAGCGAAATAAAAACACCAGAATCATGTAGAGCAGGTTAATATGAACATTTTTAAAACATTTACAGAGAGAGGGATGACAATTTTTAGGTGCTAAGTCAATTGGAAACAGTTGCTGGAGCCCGAAGTGCCCACATGATCACTTCCTATTTGGAAGGCAATGGCTAGTAGGTTAGCTATTTACATTTATTTATACAGTCTATGATAGT